GTTTAACTATCCCGTTTTTAAAAGAAACCTCCATATATTGCTTACGTATAAATTCTGATTGAAAAAATGAAAAAATTAAACTTAGCCCCACCCACCCACCCGTTCTGTCATTTTTTTTCTTCAGAAATAAGAAACAAATAATGTTATAGCAAATAAATAGTACAACTGACTGAACAACATTAAGAGCAATCACTGGAATGAAGAGGCGGTGGGTGGGTGGGGCTATTGCTTACGTATAAAAAATTCTGATTGAAAAAATTAAACTTAGCGTATATTAAGAAAAAATGGACAAAATACAAGAAATTACTATATGAAGTATGTTTTTAAGCATAGAATTTTCTAGAGAAATAATATTGATGTTATAATAATTAAACTCCGCCGCTCGGTCTGATTAGGAATGGAAAAAAAATCACAATTGAGATCGGGGTCGGTGGGTGGAGCTTAATTTTTTCAATATATAGAGTTTTCTTTCAAGGATGGGATAGCTAAACATTTTTCAGTTTCTTGTTGGGAAAAGAAGACTTCATACCTATATTAAGAAAAAAGACGGATAAAATATAAGCCCCGCCCCCCCAACCCTTCTCAATTATGATGAAATTTTTATGCATTGTGAACCGAGGGGCGGAGCTTAGTTACAAAATCCTCGTTTCTCTACAAGAAATTTCCATGTGAAATATGTTTTTAAAAGAGTAAAATTTTGTACAGAAATATAGATTTTGCAATTAAACTCCGCCCCTCGATTTGATTACGGATTAAAAACTCATCAAGTCACCACAGTTGAGATGGGGGGGGTAATCTTTGTTTTTTTTTCTATATACATATATAGTTTAATAAAGTCGATGTATTATTCAATAATTTTGGTGTGTACTCCTAATGTAAGGCACGTAGAATAACTTGTACTTTCTCGTTTTTCTGGAAAAATTGAAGAAATAAAAAACTGCACAATCTAAATTACAACGTACAAAAGTTGGAAAATCGGAAAATTTAAAAATGAAAACTAGAAGAGATATTGTAAAATCGAAGAAAGGAAAAACAAAAGACTGAAAAATTGCAAATTGAAAAATTGAGGAAACGAAAAATTGAAATAAAGTGAAATCGAAAAAACGAAAAATTGTAAAAATAAAGAAAATAAAAAACTGAAACGAAAATTTTGCAAAAAATTCGGGCACGGGCACTCTGGTGCCACGGCTACTGGCACCTTTGGAAAATTTCAGATTTCCAGATGGTTCCTTAACGGTTTAAATCATAGCCTAATACAATCCAGCAAGTTTTCGCTCGGACGAATAGTTGCACATTTCACGAAAATAATTATATAATGCGTGTTTTTAAAAAAAATTATCGAAGACGAGGCGGTTAACGATTTTGTTTTCAACAAATGAACATGAAATAAAAAGGAAACAAATGCTTTCTACAACGTTCCTACATTATTTGCTTATATCACAGTCACTTATTTTCTTTTGCTTTTATGTAATGATATCATCAGTTTTTTCGTTCATCTACCTAAATAAATAGTGATATAACAAGTTTAATACTACTTCGCAAACGAAAATCTCCCAAATTCTCGCCACTTTCAGACAACTACTGTGCAAAAAATAAGTGTATCATTTTTGAAGAATTGAATATATTATTGAGAATATAATGGACACATAATTTTTATTGCAGATTTATAAACTGAGGCCGTTAACACACTAAATGGACACTCAATAAAAACCAGATCTAGAATGCAAAACAAGTTCAGTGACTTAACACGAAAAGAAACGAAAAACACTGTCTCTTAAAATTTGTAAAATATGCGTGTTTCTCTAGCATGGAGGATTTTCAAATTAAAGACTTGAACTGCTTCTTAAATTCATTCGATTAAAAATTTTGGAAGACAAAATCATTTCAAAATATCTAAACGAGTTCAGATTTTTCGTACTACTGTATGTAACACCTCCTTAGATACAAGGCAGCTATTACATTGATGTGAATTCTCAAAACATTTCAAACTAATTAGAACGACAGGATCGTAGACTGTAAACGAGTTAGCGTCTGGCACTAATTGTTCGAAGTATTGACTCTTTAAGTAGCTGTTAAGTAATGTTGAAGAGTAAACGTCGTTAAGTTTAATTTTGATATTTTTCAAATTCAAGCAACGATATTAAGCAATAAAATTAGAAATGTGTTTAAAAAAAATATATATTCCTGGAAGAAAAGCGGGGCGAAATATTTTTTTAAATCTTCTAGAGGATTATCTAATCTAAGCACTAAAATAACATGGTCATAATCTATAGATAACAGTTGTTTTGTAATATTTCAAAAATTTTAGCGTTTGTATATATACGTAAATATTTGGTTTTCCGTTTTCGCGATAAACTGTGTTTCTAGAACCTGTCTCACTTAAATAAGAAATAAAAAGAACATTTTCTAGTAATTCTACTATAACTTGGATCGATGCTGAAAAATTGTTAGCAAAAACTTGCACAAGTTGAAAAATAGTTATTTATAGTACTTGTTTTCCTCAAACCTTGAAAATAATCTATCAATCACGATATAACTTCACGAACATTGTCCCTTCATATCTTTATTATTATTGCGCACATTGAGCTAGTACGTAATGTAGTACCAATCATACGTACTGAGAAGTACCTGTCTGTAGTTTTTTCACGTAAATGAAATTACTCACAGTTATTACAAAATGACGTTAATTCTATCCTCTATCGGTAGCTATGACACAGTAAATGAACATAACAACAAGTTAAACGCATTATTGAAAGGAAAAATAGAATGAGGCCGTTAACACACACAAGATGGAAATTTATCGAAAACGAGATCTAAAATGCAAAAACGAGTTTAGTGACTTTACATAAAAAGAAGCCAATGGTGTGATGTCTCTTAAAAATGTTAAAATATGTATGGTACTCTCTTCCAGAGAATCTACAAAACGGATTTACCACCACCTACACTTTAAAAACAAATTCGCTAAATAAGAATAGTCAGGTGAAAATAGTAGACTAGTTACGCATCGATAACAGCAAATTCTTCAAAAAAAAACCCGAAAGGTCCCACCTCCACCCAAAAATATTTTTGCAAGAATTCTTCGCCAGGTTATTGAATCTAACTGTAATCGTAAATACTATCACCCATGGTATAAAACTCGTTTCCAGTTTGATTAATAGGAGGTTGGTAGCCTTAGACATGTGTTCCTCTATCTAAAAAATTCGAACTTATTTGTATCGGACTTGGGTGCGTCAGGTGACATTACCATAAGATTTGTCGCATCAGACAATCAAAGTCCCATTAACAAAGGTCGGACGACTCTGACCCTGAGATCAAATACGAAGCCACAAATTAGCATCGGCGGAATAAAAATTTATGACTAGCTATGGATGCATTAGGTTGACAACGAATACCCATTAAAAACCCAATTAGCCCCGCTTTGTTTTTCAATATAATCCATTTCGGAGCGCTCAGAATCCTAATGTTGTTTATGCGTTCGAAACCTTAGCCAATTTTTGAAATATGCATAGTCGAGATTGCTCGGAAATGGAGTTCTTGAATACCTCTTCCACGTTTCCTCGATCACATGCATTATTCAGCGTCCAACAAATCAACAGTTGTCATTGGCGCTTGCACGCGATGGCATAAACAAAATAATTCACCTGAAAACGTGAAAGACTGACGTTTTCAGGTTTCTGGACGAAGTTAACGGAAAGAATCCTGCGTGTTATTACGTGACTTTTTCTTTAATTTCGTATCTATGGAGAATACGAAAGGAATAACACCGAATCGGTTCGGCTGTCTCAAGGTGTTGCCGTTTATCTCTAAATAATTGGAATTTAATGGCGATCTTCTGTTGGGATTAATGGGTTCGAAGTATTTTGATGAATTATGGGCTCGTTCAGGGTTTAATACCGCAATTTTCGTAACAGTTTGGCGTGGGATTTGCATAAAATGACGGCTGGAAATTATAACCGCATGATAAGCAACTGTTTTGAAAGATGAGACATCTGTATTGTTGTGGGAAGGTTTTGACTAATTAATTGTTTCAAAGCATATGATACCCAGAATATTTGGGGTCTTACTTTTTTAACTAGAATAAAATAGATTCACTCTTTTTCTGGTTTAAACAATTACTATTTTACAAACTACACTGCAGTAGAAAATACTGACATAACTATAAATGTTCAACTGTACAGCATTTACCATATAGCAGTGACCAAAACATGTTTATTTTATTTTATTTTATTATATTTGTTTTATTTGAAATAAAATTAAGGCCACGAAATCCTGGTAATCTTTAGATGAGACTTGAAGTGTTTACTATCTATGTACCTCACTATCATTCCTATTTACTTTGCGTAAATTTAATTCGCAAAACACCACTTATCCCACAATCGAACAAATATTTGTCTGGATCCTAATAATCTCGTCTATAATTTAAAATCAGGTCCAACATTGACCTTCAGCAAGGTCCTGTCTCAGACAAAAAAACGACAACCCTTAAATATTAATCTCGAGATTCCGCCCATCATTATCTCCGGCGAAAGTTCCATCGTCCATAATTAACCTTCACGGTTTGCCATCCCGTGGAATCAATATTGGAAACAAATCATTCAATTATTAACGCGAATGATTTCATAAATAATAAAGAAAGAGGACGTGTCTGTACAAGCAGCAGATACCCTTATACCCGTCAATCAAGAGAAGCGTCTGCTTTCAAGAAAATGGACTGAGAGTGTTAATTCGGCGACTTTTTAGTCGTACCGGTCCAGTTGGATTCAACAAAGGTACTTGACTCGAGAAGACGACCTTGACGTTATCTCCTCCAGCGGTCGATTACCAAAGACACACCCTTGCGAAATGAAATGATAATAGATAGTGTATTGATCGGCTTCTGGTAAAATTCACAATCTAAGTATTCTCGTAATTAAAACGGATGTGGTTTTGACGCTGCGTCGATAGTGATAATTTGAGCGACGCGGTGACATAGTAAGTGTAAATAATTGATAAGAGACGGATTATTGACGAAAGGATAAGTAGTATCTTGGCAAGACTCAGTCAATCGGGTGCATCCCTCGCGAACTCCTCGCCGGGCAGAATGACGAACTGGTGGCTCGTGCTCGTGGTGGTACCGCTGGTACAAAGTGCTCATGTAGCTAAACTCAACATGGTACAAAGCGAAGGGAATTACTCGCAACAGACGACTTTCTGGTTCAATCAGACGACCGAACACGTCCTGGTCTTCCCAACTTCGGATTCTATATACCCCTATCGAATCAAAGCGTGGAGCACGAATGCTAAAATAAAAACTCCTGTGCTGGTGGTGGTACGACAAGAACGCGAAGTACTATCGTGGCAAATTCCTTTCGTCGTCGATAGTTCGAATAAACAAGATGTGGTACATTTTCACAACACGTCGAGGACTTTGTGCCATAATCATATGCCCGAAATTACTAAAACTAGTAAGTTAGATTTTGACAAAATACGACTGATCGTCCTTTTAGATACACATTCAAGGTTAATGATGAAGGACCTATCACAGAATTTTATCGTCGCTTTATCCACGTCTTCTGCCATTAACATAGACATCACGATTGTGGTGGAAGAAGAAAAGAACTTTTACTTAACCGAAGCACAAGAGTACTCAGTTTCGGTATCACCAAGTGAGCCGAAATACTACTATTACAAGTTTTTCAACGACACTAAGTCGACAAGTGCGATTATCGAAATTGTTTCCGATGACGATATCTGCTTGACTGTGTCAATTCAGGACAGCTACGTAAGAACACACCTTTTCAAAATAGTACTTTAACTAAAAACTACGTTCTAGTGTCCCGTTTTTGATTTAGACAGAGACATCAAGTATGAAGGTAAATACCAGACAATAAATCGCAAAGGAGGGATGAGCATTAGAGTAAGTACCACCATTTTTTTTTGTTTTTTGAAAAGTACACATTTTAACTCTCCAGAAACGCGAATATCCTGATGGATTCTTCCTAGTTTTCGTTGCAAAAGCCGACAATTATCAATGTAGCCAAGAAAATTCTGTCCTTCCACGAGAAACTAAAAGCACAATCATCACTTCTTCTAATCGTACTTCCACGATTCGCTTTACTATTAACAAAGGCATCAACGGTAAAGATTACGGTATCGCATCTCTTGCCACTGTTGGAGCTATTGGTGTCTTCTACATTTTCGCAATTATAATGGTGTTTGCTTTTACTCGATGGGGCACTATCTCAAATTTCGTCAAAACGCGAATCAAAGACGAACACGACAGTTCGCTTTTTTTCGACGACGAAATAGTACCTGAGCCTGTTATATCGGAAGAAGATCGAAAAGAACTGCTCAAAAAAGAGAGACTTACAGTGAATCTTCTAGCCAAAGCGCCAACGAAAGATCGGAGAAGAGCATATAATTACTTGTGGCACATACTCAGCATTGCCATTTTCTACAGCATTCCTGTGGTACAACTAGTAATTACGTACCAAAGAGTTGTTAACAGGACGGGCGACCAAGATATGTGTTACTACAATTTCCTCTGTGCTAATCCGGCTTTCGGTCTAAGCGACTTTAACCATATTTTCTCGAATGTGGGGTATGTTTTCATGGGGATTTTGTTCCTAGGGGCAGTACTACATCGTCATGCCAAAATTCCCAGCAACTGTGTAAGTTTATTTTTTCGATTGTAACTTCTCTAAGCGGGCTTTTACAGACTGGTGTACCTGTTCATTACGGCGTGTACTATGCGATGGGTATTGCTCTAACCATTGAAGGTTTGCTCTCTGCATGCTACCACATCTGTCCTAGTCAATCAAACTATCAATTTGGTACGACCATAAAGACTCGTTTGGTACTTACCTACTAACTATCATTTCAGATACTAGTTTCATGTATGTGATGGCAGTACTCTGTATGATTAAATTGTACCAAAATCGTCACCCTGACGTTAACGCCACCGCTTATGCTACATTTACTGTATTAGGAATGGCGATCTTTCTAGGTAAGATAGTGTACCCGAAATGGTACTATTTTTTAACATGATTATTTATAGCAATGGTTGGCATTCTTAATGGTAGTTTAACCGTATGGATTGTGTTTGTCGTCATTTACTCACTATTGTGTGCCTACATCTCCTTCAAAATCTATTTCATCAGCTTTGTCTTTGTTGGTTTCAAGCAGTTAAAGAAAAGTTTCAGAAGTTCCGAAGACAAAGTAGAAGCGATTGCTCCCGTTAAGAAAAGTAAGTTTTAACGGCTGATAGACTTGAACTAATTAAAATTTTCTTGTAGGTCGCTTTATTCTCTTAATAGTAGCCAATCTAGCCAACTATGCTATGTTGATAACAGGGCTTTGTCTTTACAACTCAGGAGTTACCGATTTTGGTACTTTCCTTTTGGGAGTTCTTATGGGGAATTCGGTTTTGCATGCAATTTTCTATACAGGCATGAAGGTTTGTTTTCTGGTTGAATGTTAAACATTCCAACTCATTTTTTTTGTTTCGTACAGCTAGTCCACGGGGAACGAATTTGTTTCGAAGCTATCGTGTATGGTCTTTTGGGAATTGTGGCGTGGGCCGGCGCTGGAGTATTTTTCTTAGACAACGCAACATTGTGGACGGTATGTTTTCTTTTTTATATAGTATGTGAATAACAGTGATCCTTCAGGTGACTCCTGCGGAATCCCGTCAGTGGAATCAAGAGTGCATCTTGATGAATTTTTACGATAAACATGACGTCTGGCATTTAGTCAGTGCTCCTGCTCTTTACCTTACTTTTATGTATTTATTATGTTTGGATGATGATCTAGTGGAAACGAAGCGTGAAGAAATTACTGTATTCTAAACGAATAAATTATTTTTTACTTTTTAAAATGTCTTTCTGTAAATCTGGCAATAAATGTTTCTGGATTTTATGTTTTTGATAGATTTATTTTTAGTTAAAAATTGGTTCACAGGAAACCATAAAATTTTAGCTGGAAATCTTATTTTGGTCGAATTTTACGAGTTCTGAAATATATTTAGACTTGTTTTGACGATCACCTTCTGGCATTTGTAGATTCAAGAAATCCGTTAAAAAACTTCAGAAATGTTACTTTTCAAGCTTTTGCTTGTGTTTTCTGGCGTTTCCGGAAAAGATACCAGTACTAGTGAGCTCTCTATCGTCAAATCAGTGAACCAATGTAGCTTACGTTTGACTATCCAATATTCCGTTGTTTCGAATTTTCGACGTTTAAATGTCAGCGGACTGATGCAAGAGAGGGTATTGAGCCCTTTTTTGTTTAATATCTTTCTAGACGAATTAGGTACTTAAAAAATGTCAAGCGAAGCTCAAAAAACTACAAGCAGGATACACAAAATTACCACTACACATAACAGAGTGCGCGTTCACTGATGACCTTGCAAAAACACCCAGATAAACCACCCCACTTTCAAAAATTATAAGGCAATATTGGTTGAAGTGGAAATAAAATCCCTAAAATCCAAAACATCGAAATATTGAATAACTTTAAAAACCCTGAGAAGTCTTTTCCACGTTATTTTGAGCACTAATAAATTTTATAACCGACTGTTTAAATAAAATCTCGCCAATGGGACTACCAATGTAATATTGTCTAACTTACTTCTACGTCCTTGCTCTGTAGATCAAATCTTATCATCCGGCAAAGTACCTGGAATTTCCTATTACTTTTTGGTGCAAATAAAAATGTTTTGATTAATATTTCCTAATTGTTTTATCATTTAATCTAAATGTATTTTTTTCAACAACAGCGATTTCATAATATACATGACAGACGTAGCAAATTTAGATACCTTTCTCCGGCGAATCAAAAAGAGGCACCCAGAAACAATTGTACTATCAGATTCTGTTTGACAAAACTACTTCGTATCTCGACTTGATAAGACGAGTGTAAACATTTATACTTCCATCAGTCGATTTCAATCAACCATGATTACTGCGAACATTTCTTTTTTCATGTTAATTACAACCAGTGTTTTTGCTCTCACCACGGGCGACTTGATAAATGTGATTGTTAAAGAAGGAATTTTCTCGAACAGAACAGACGTCACTTTAAATTCAACCATCAGACGACTCTTTGTATTCACGCCGCAAACTCCGTCATCTAACCCTTACAACGTACACGTTTGGACAAGCGACAATACTGTGTCAAAGGACCATCCAGTGGTAGTAATGGTAGAACAAGAACAAGATGTTTTAGAGTGGTCGATTCCTCTCACTCTTGAATCATCAAATGGCAAAGGGTCTGTGTTTTTTAACGGTGTTTCTAGAACTCTCTGTGATAGTAAAATATTGTCTGGTGTTAATGCAACACAAAACTTTACTGTAAGTTTATCGACATCTTCGCCTGATAATGTAAACGTAAGCCTTCAAGTAGTTGAAAAAGGAGATTTTCATTTGACAAAAAACAAAACTCGTAAGATATCGATAGTAGCTCCAGGGAGACCGCAGTACTTTCTTTACAAACCGGATTTTAAAATAGACCTTGGAATCGAAATAAATATCGCTTCAAACAAAAATATTTGTTTTACGGCAGTTGTTCAAAAGATAAAAGTAAGTATAAGAAGTACGAAAGTATTCAAGAAACTTATTCTTCCTTTAGTGTCCCGTTTATGTCTCGGGTCAAGTACTCTTTGAAGATGGAATTCGACAAACTGTTATAACAAAAGGTACCATAAGGATTAATGTGAGTACCTAATTGTTTTAATTGTTTCTAATAATAATAGTGATAACAACAGAGCGCAAATTTCCCCCATGGATTTATTCTCATCATTTTGAAAGAACACGCAGAAAATTTATGTGAAGAGGCATGTCCAGAAGTCATTTGTGATGAACCTCCGGAAGTTACAATTGAAATAAAAAACACTATTCCTGAAGAATATATCCTCATTACTTTGAAAGTTGTTGGCTGTATTGCAGGATTCTATTTTGTCGCGATTCTGACATGCTGTTTTTTTTCGTGGTGGGAAAAGCGGCAACAATCTGCTCAACCTACAGACAACAATCTTTTACACGGTGAAAATCACATGAATGAAGAAACAAGTAGGGATAATGAAAATTCTACAAACCATGACACAACTGTAGCTTCATTGTGCAGAAGTATTGAAAGAAATAAAATAAAAGCGCACAATTATTGGCTGCATGTTGCAAATATTGCAATTTTCTATGGAATTCCAGTTGTACAATTAGCAGTTACTTACCAAGAGATAGTAAATAAGACAGGGGATGAAGATAATTGCTACTACAATTTTGGGTGTGCGAATCCTGGATGGCTTCTTAGTGATTTTAATCATGTGCAGTCTAACATTGGTTATATTGCCATGGGATTTTTATTTCTAGGGATGGTATTACATCGACGCAGAGTAGTACCTGAACGAAAGGTTACTTACTTTTTTCCTTAAAACTTGATTTTTACTTCATAATTATTTTCAGACAGGGATTCCAGTTTACTATGGAACTTATTATGCAATGGCTACAGCTTTAATCAGTGAAGGCATTCTGTCTGGATGTTACCATGTTTGTCCAACTGAAACTAATTTTCAATTTGGTATTGAAAAATGATATAAATTTTGGCAAACTCGACTTAAGTAATGTATTTCAGATGTAAGTTTTATGTACGTGATTATTATTCTATACCTGTTGAAACTCTATCAAAATCGTCACTCTGATCTAGCAGCGTCAGCCTATTCGACTTTTACCGTCCTTGGCTGTATTGTATTTATCGGTAATTTTGTCGTATTGTTAAAACATAACACAAATAATGTTTGTTTCAGCTGTGATTGGAATAATTATTGATGAGGATCAACCTCGACCCTTGATAGTGGTACCTCTTGTGGTAGTTTATACTACATTGTGTATCTACATATCATTAAAAATTTATTACTTTCACAACGTTTTGACAGAATTGCAGCAGCTATGGATGGGATTGAGAGAGTCCTACCAACCATTACGCGAAATGTTACAACCACAAAAGAAAGGACGATTTTTGATTATTGTAATTTCCAATATATGTAATCTCGCTTTTTTGATAAGCGGAACTCTACTTTATGTTAACAAAACATTAGATTTCGGTACTTTCCTCCTTGTGTTGCTAATGGGCAATGCAGTGTTATATTCGATATTTTATTTAATTATGAAGGTACAAGTTGTATAAACTGTTTTTATTACTATTCACCTAAAGAATCGTATTTATACTTTAGACTCTTATTCATCGTGAAGGAATTTCCGTACAAGCGGTGATTTATGGTGTGCTGGGTGTCGCTCTTTGGGTCCAGTCTATGATTTTATTTTTAGATAAGAACACCGCCATGGCTGTAAGTCAAAAAATTGTCATCATGGAAAAATGTACTTACTTCAAATTTGTTTTTTAGTTAAGTCCTGCTGAGTCTCGCAATTACAATCAGCACTGTCTTGAGTGGTTTTGGAACTTCTACGACAAACACGATTTATGGCATTTCAGCAGCGCTGGAGCCATTTACTTCACATTTATGTTTCTCTTGTGTTTAGATGACAATATTGTTCTTAAAGAACGAAGACATATTCCTGTATTCTAATAGAAATGTGTGCAGTTTGAGTTCATTGCATTGCAGTGTAATACAAAACGATCTGATCTGTAAATAGTGTTTGTTTAACCTGAGTTTGGAATGTGTAGAATCATCGATAAAACATTGAGCAATGAAAATTGATAAAAATGAGAAAAGATTAACGATTTTTACACACATTTATTTATTTCGTGTCATTTTGTTTTTACAGTTTATAGCCTTCAAAGCGGCAACTAAAAAAAATCAAAATTTGTCTTAAAATGTGATAAATAATTTAATTTGAGGAATTAGAAAAATGTAATCTTTAAAAAGTGCTATAAAACACCTGCCTATATTTGATTTTTTTAAACCGAAATGTTTTTGGCTATAAAAGTTTGAATTAATTATGTTATTGAATAATTTTTTAAAGCAAATATTTGTCAAGCTCTTGCGAAAATTTAGGAAGAAATGAGTCAAGGGTATAGGCCTTGGAAATAACCATTAGTCAGAACACTCAGCCCGCATTAAAATTAACAATCAATCAGAAGCAGAATATCCTTATCACACTTATCACACTAAAAATTTCACTGAATTAAATGTTAAGTAAATTAAATCAACACAATGGTTCGCCCTTTTTCGACGACGAAATAGTACCTGTGTCTGTTATATCCGAAGGGGATCGAAAAGAAAGCTAAGAGAAGAGCTTCTGCATATTTAACTAAGCATTTTTGCATTTATTCCATTTTAACATTCTTGCTGCATTTTTTGTGGTAATTGGTGAAAATCTTAATTTTTTTACAATGTTAATACAGTTGGTTATTGGCAGCATCCAAGTAAATAAGTACCGACGTTTTCTAGTAATGCGGACGGGTTTTTCCAAGACTTCATTTATGGACACCCCCAATTAGGTGTATTACTGGAATTCTTTATTTAACGGCCTCTAAGCCGGATGTTGTAAATATAGATAATTCTGCAAATGTATTTAACGAGGGGTTGGAAGAGATGGAAAACCTAGAATGTATTTGTAAGCATTTCATTCTTCGATTTCCAAATTCATTCATCATTCGTCTACGAACTTGGCGACAGAGCAGCAATATTATGAATAATTAAAAAAATATCTTCCAAACTATCATCTTGGATTCGGTCCTACTCAGACTTAGTCCTAGATGGAGATTATGATTTTTGCAAACCTTGTGGCAAAGCAGTAAATTTTTTATTTAAAATATATTGCCAGTCTTTCGACTAAAGTTTAACTGAACCAAATAAAAAAATATGTTTTGCATGTTATTCAATGTCAGTAACAGGTATCTTGTACACGAATAATTATGTGTTTTCAATTTTTTTTTTAGATTTCGAGCACAAAGAAACATTTTGTAGATCAACACTGCAAAACGCCTCTCCACAACAGAAATTGTGAAAAAAGAAACTCAACCAGAGTAACTCAAACATCAATACGAGAAACTTTATCTGCTAATACAGCCAAAAATGAAGAGGAGACATTCAAGTTTGCTTTATGCCAGACCATGCTTGCCTGGAATATTCGGGAACAAGCCTAGAAGCGGTGACGGAGAACTTTGAGAAGGACCGCACGGCTGTTTAAGTGGGAACCACCGTCGGGAGCAGTTAGGTAGTCCAGACAATGAGAGAAGTCTAGTTAGTCGTGTACATTTGAGTTATTAAGAAATAAAATTGTTGAGTTTTATCCACGCCGATTTTAATCACCCGTTCAACGTAACACTGATGTCGGAAATGAGATTTGAGATTAATAACTGGTTTTACAATTTCCGGGCAGATTGGAGAAGAATTCTGAAGAATTTATGCCTGTCGAGACGAGAGCTTAAACTGCAGCAGCAATGGAGGATCAAGTAAACCGGGTGATGGCTATGCTTGCAAAAATGGACGAGAAAATGGAAGCAAGAAACAAAGAAATGGACGAAAAAATGGACACACGAACGGAAAAAGATGGACAAAAAAATAGATGAGATTATCACCAACCTAACTGAAAAGTTCCAAATGGACATAGAAACAAACAAGAATGAAATAGAAGAAATTAAAGAACAAATAAAAGTTTTGGAAAATGTTGTCTGACGAAATATGGTCTCAATGAAGGAAAAAGCAAAAGGAGAAGTCGAGGATCAGTTAAAAAGTGAGTTAGAAAAATCAGTGCATGAATACGTGGACGATCGAATGAAAACTATAGAAGATCGAATGAAGAAATTTGAAAAGACAATAAAAAATGTAGCAACCACTTCATCTTATGTGACGTCGGCCCCAGAACGATTCAACCACCCACTGTGTGATCCAATTTATGCTTAAAAAAAATTCAAAGTGGCGCCGCCCACCCACCCGGTTTTCCTTCTGGTCACTCATTTTATTGGACAAAAAGGGAGTTTTATATTGATAAACATTGGAATCTACACGTAAAGGTATAACTAACCCCATCCAACTCCCCTTTTGGATTTCATTGGTTTTTTTGGACTGGATGAAGATTGAAGACTGAATTTTACTATATCAAATGGCGAACTAGACTTACAAAAATTCGAAGTGGCCCCGCCCGCTCACCCAGTTTTTTTTGGTCACTCATTTTATTGGACGAAAAATGCATTTTATATTGAATTACAATGGAATCTAGTAATCTAGACAAAAAGGTAAAACTAACCCCACTCACGTCCTCTTTTGAATTTCATTGGTTTTTTGATTAGAAAAAGACTAAATTTAGTTTTGTCAAGGTCAAGTCGTCAAGTGATCGAATCTACGCTTTAAAAAAATCAAAGTGCCCACCCACCCGGTTTCCCTTCTGGTCACTCATTTTATTGGGCAAAAAGGGGGTTGTAAATTGAAAAACATTGGAATCTAGACGAAAAGGTAAAACTAACCCCATCCCCTTCGGCTTTTGGATTTCATTGTTTTTTTTTTTTGTTTGGATGAAAACTGAACTTTACTATGTCAAATGGCGAACTAGACTTACAAAAAGCAGTTCGAAGCAGCAACGACGGCAAATCTCTGGGAAGAAGAACAAAAAGCTACAGCTTTGGTGATTGCTTTGCCAGGCGCAGGGCTGGAGATGCTTCAAACCTTATCTGACAAAGATATAAGCAAATATAGTGCCTTAACCACTGCTCTAGAACTGCGATTTAGGGATGAACATCTAAAGCAAGTTTTTACCGCCCCGTTAAAGACAAGAACACAGAAAGTTGTAGAATCTCTACCAGAATTTGCAGCAGATGTCAAAAAAATGGTACGTCTAGCATACTCGGAAGCACCACCGAAGTTAAGAAGATGTTACAAGTATACCTATATTTAGATGTCAAACGTCAGCTGATGCTCTCATACGCGCTCTGGAAGTGGAAGCTGCTTTCAGTACCACAAGAACATGCTACAAAGTCAGCATAGCAGAACGAGAGAAAGAAGAAAACAACAAGATAAAGAAGTTGCTAGAAAAATTATTGCGAAGACGGAAGAATGATGTATCTCCTAAGCAAAGCCTGGAATGCTATAAGGATGGACGCCAGGGACATCTCAAACCTGATTGCCGTGCTCGATTACCAGTTCCAAAAAAAAAGCACAAAACAGAGACCTCCCCGATATCTAAAAGGAGCCGGTATTCGGGAAAATGGGTTCACTGGTGAGAATAAGGCCGCCAGCAAAGTGAAAATAAGAAGTTTCACCATCGATACTGGCGCTGCGGTATCAATTGTACGTAAAGGACTCGTGAGAGCTGAAGATGTAGAACCGATACCCGAAACGATCAGATTGACTACTGTAACTGGATCATGGGCGAAGCATCGGTGGATATCCGTATTAGTCAGCTGAGAATAAGACATCGGGCTCTCGTGGCTAGCATGGAAGATGACTTCATTTTGGGAATGGATTTGACAATTGATCCAGTAAAGGAAGTCTTGGAAATGAAGAGTTCAAGCTGAATCAGCGTTGTATTGAAGCGAAGCCTGCAAGATTGATCGCTTATCAGAACTACAAACACTGTGACGCGGTTGAGGAGCCCAAAGCACGGTTCAACCACAGGAAGAAAGCAGTCGTAGAAGATGATGAATGGACTACAGCTCGATGTAGAAAGGACCATGAGGAAGACGAGGATATTGGGCCGCCCCTCAGATGGAAAGAAGATGGAGTAGAACGACCTGGCTGGTCGGAAATAACAGACGAGTCTCCTTCTTTCAAGGTATTGCTTAAGCGAGCCTGGAAAAGTCCGGATGGAAACGATGTCACTATGCAGTTGGTAGTTCCGGCCATTAGAATCAAGGAAGTACTTCAAGAAATACGCAACGAAGGTTCTGGAATAAACAAGACGCTTTCCAACGTTACGAAGAGATTCTACTGGGTCCGTTGCCGGGAAGACGTCGAGAGCTGGTGGAAGATATGCAGGACCTGTGCGGCGGTTAAAAGACTTAAGATTAAGGCGAGGGGGCCGTCGGTTCATCTTTTGGAAGAACTGCAGGACACGAAGAAGGTCAAAGGTTACGACGATGGCGTACAGGACAAGCTGCCGAGCGTTCACGAAATGCTGCACCCCAAGAATAAAGTGGCGAGTGGTAGAATGAAGACACGTTACGATCTTAGGGACAACAAGATTTTAAATAGTCCTAAATTAAATCAGAACTTAAGTTTCATAAATAACAACTACGAATGAATTGGTGTGGCATTAACAAAATTAGAAAAACAAAAACTACCCCTAAGTGAATCCGTACAGCTAATAGAAAATTAAAAAAATATATCAATAAAGCACAAGGTCCTATAGCTCAAACAGTCTCAAAAAAACTAGACGAAGTCCTTAGTAAAAATGAGGGTTTGACTAGACTAACTAATGTGGTAAAAGTTTTAGATGGACAGTTTTCAGAGGAGGTAAATATAGACCCTCAAATTGTGTTGTCCCTTAAATATGCCCCAGTAACACCTGTCGATATAGAGCGTAGTTTTTCAGTGAATAAATATATTTTAAGTCATCGAAGACATTCATTTAAAATGGAAAATCTAGAAAAACATATTATAATAAATATAAATAATAATATTTTTCAAGTGAGTAACTAGTTAGTGAATAAAATAGCTAGTCAATAGAGTAATAGATACGCCGACATAGGTAATTTTAATTTGTAAATGTGTAGTTTAGGTCCAAATATTTGTTATACAGGGTATTTTTGAAATAGATGAAAACTTTTTTTAAGGTAATTGGTCATGATGTAGAGAATTTATGCATCAAATATTGATCTAATAAAAATCCTTTAGTTTTCGAGATAAAATTGATTGAAAATCTGCGTGTGCGCTACTGATTCCAAAAATGTTAAAGGTAAATTTGATCACTATAGTAATTTAAAGTAGGTAAAATTGTTGCTTGTTAACATGACAATACATTCATTAGCCCATCATTTTTTGCCGTTTTTGCAATTTTTTGGAAGAACAAAATGAATTTTAATAACACCCTGTATTAGTTATAAGAGTTGTAAGAAATGATAGAAATAAAATATTAATGTGTAAAAAAAGTAATTTTTCTTGCATATAATTCCGAACTTTACTGATGATCTTGCAATGACAAAGCGGAAATAAACACCCTACAAACCAAAGCAGCGATATATTGAAAAACCTGAGAAGTCTTTTCCACACTATTTTGAGCACCAGTAAAATTTTATAACCGATTGTCTAAATAAAATTTCGCCAATCGGACTAACGATGTAATTTTGTCTAATTTATTGCTTCCACATTCTTGCCATGTAGATTAAATCTTATCATAAGGCAAAGTACCTGGAATTTCCTATTATTTTTTGTTACAAATAAAAGTGTTTCGATATAATTTCTTAATTGTTTTATCGCTTAAATCAAATATATCTGTTTTCAACTATAGCGATTTCATAATATATATATACAAAAATAGCAAATTTAGATACCTTTCTCCGGCGAATAAAAAAGGAGTACCCAGAAACAATTGTATTATCAGATTCTGTTTAACAAAACTACTTCGTATCTCGACTTGATAAGACGAGTGTAAACATTTATACTTGCATCAGTCGATTTCAATCAACCATGATTAGTGCGAACATTTCTTTTTTCATGTTAATTACAACCAGTGTTTTTGCTCTCACCACGGGCGACTTGATAAACGTGATTGTTAAAGAAGGAATTTTCTCGAACAGAACAGAGGTCACTTTAAACTCAACTACTAGACGACTCTTTGTATTCACGCCGCAAACTCCGTCATCTAACCCTTACAATGTACACGTTTGGACAAACAACAGTAATGTGTCAAAGGACCATCCAGTGATAGTAACGGTAGAACAAGAACCAGATGTGTTAAAGTGGTCGATTCCTCTGACCCTTGAATCATCAAATGGAAAAGGTTTTGTGCTTTTTAACGACACTTCTAGAACACTCTGTAATAGTAAAATACTATCAGGAGATGTTAATGGAACACAAAACTTTACTGTGAGTTTATCGACATTTTCGCCTGATAATGTAAACGTAAGCCTTAAAGTAGTTGAGAGAACAGAATTTTATTTGACAAAAGGCAAACCTCATAATATATCGATAGTAGCTCCAGGGAGACCGCAGTACTTTCTTTATAAACCGGATTTTATTGGAGACTTTGGAATCGAAATAAATATCGCTTCAAGCAAAAATATTTGTTTTACGGCAGTTGTTCAAAAGATAAAAGTAAGTATAAGAAGTACGAAAGTAATGTAGGGACTTAGTCTTCCTTTAGTGTCCGGTTTATGTCTCGGGTCAAGTATTCTTTGAAGATGGAATTCGACAAACTGTTGTAACAAAAGGTACCATAAGGATTAATGTGAGTACCTAATTGTTTTAGTTGCTCCTAATAATAATAGTGATAACATCAGAGCGCAAATTTCCCCGATGGATTTATTCTCATCATTGCGAAGGGAAACGCAGAAAATTCATGTGAAGAGGCATGTCCAGGAGTCATTTGTGAAAACCCTCCGGAAGTTACTATTGAAATAAGAAACACTATTCCTGAAAACGAATACATCTTCATTACTTTGAAAGTTCTTGGCTGTATTGCAGGATTCTCTGCTGTCACGATTCTGACATGCTGTTTTTTTTCCTGGTGGGAAAAGCGGCAAGAACCTGCATACAACATCTTCAATTCCGATCTTTTCAACGGCGAAAATCACATGGATGAAGAAACACATAGAGATACCGAAAATTCAAACAACAATGACACAACTGTAGCCTCATTATGCAGAAGTCTTGAAAGAAATAAAATAAAAGCGCACAATTATTGGTTGCATGTTGTAAATATTGCAATTTTCTATGGAATTCCAGTTGTACAATTGGCAGCTATTTACCAAGGAATAGTGAATAAGACAGGGGATGAAGATAGTTGCTACTACAATTTTGGATGTGCGAATCCTGGATGGTTTCTTTCTGATTTTAACCATGTGCAGTCTAACATTGGTTATATCACCATGGGAATTTTATTTCTAGTGATAGTATTATATCGTCGCAGAGTACTACCTGAACGAGAGGTTATTTACTTTTATTCTCAAAACCTTATTTTTACTTCAAATTTCAGACAGGGATTCCAGTTTACTATGGAACTTATTATGCAATGGCTACAGCTTTAATCAGTGAAGGCATTCTGTCTGCATGTTACCATGTTTGTCCAACTAACACTAATTTTCAGTTTGGTATTAAAAAATGTTCCAAATTTTGCCAAACTAGTCTTAAGTAATATATTTCAGATGTAAGTTTTATGTATGTAATGATTATTCTATACCTGTTGAAACTCTATCAAAATCGTCACTCTGATATAGCAGCGTCAGCTTATTCGACTTTTACCGTTGTTGGTTTTATTGTATTTATGGGTAATTTTGTCGTATTGTTTAAACATAATACAAATAATGTTTGTTTAAGCTGTGATTGGAATAATTGTTGATGAGGATCAACATCGAGCCTTCATCGTGGTACCTCTTGTGGTGGTTACTTATACTACATTGTGTATCTACATATCATTAAAAATTTATTACTTTGACAGCGTTTTGACAGGATTGCAGCAGCAGTGGATGAGATTTAGAGAGTCCTACGAACCAATACAGGAAATTTTAACACCACAAAAGAAAGGTACATACATATCACTAAACATATTATGCTATCATTTATTTATATGTTTATTATTTCAAGGACGTTTTGTCATCACTATAATTGTCAATCTATGTAATCTCGCTTTTTTAATAAGCGGAACTCTACTTTATGTTAACAGAACATTAGATTTCGGTACTTTCCTCCTTGTGTTGCTAATGGGCAATGCAGTGTTATATTCGATATTTTATGTAGTTATGAAGGTACAAGTTGTATAATCTGTTTTTATTACTATTCACCTAAAGAATCGTATTTATACTTTAGACTCTTATTCATTGTGAAGGAATTTCCGTACAAGCGGTGATTTATGGTGTGCTGGGTGTCGCTCTTGGGGTCCAGTCTATGATTTTATTTTTAGATAAGAACACCCAAATGGCTGTAAGTCAAAAAATTGTCATCATGGAAAAATCTACTTAAAATTTGTTTTTTAGTTAAGTCCTGCCGAGTCGCGCAATTACAATCAGCGCTGTCTTCAGTGGTTCTGGAACTTCTACGACAAACACGATTTATGGCATTTCACTAGCGCTGGAGCCATTTACTTCGTATTTATGTTTCTCTTATGTTTAGATGACAATATTGTTCTTAAAGAACGAAGACATATTCCTGTATTCTAATAAAAATATCAGCAATTTGAGTCATTGCATTGCAATGTAATACAAAACCATCTGATCTGTAAATTGTATTTGTATAAGCTGAATCTGGAATGTGGAAAACCGTCGATAAAACATTGTGTATGGTTGATAAAAATACTGAGATTAACGACAAGATTTTTACAAGCATCTATGCGTGTCGTTTTTGTTTATAGCTCTCAAAGCGGCAACAAAACGAATTCAAAATTTATCTTAAAATGTAAGAAATAAAAACTCCTATAAAATAAAACACCTGCTTATATTTGATTTTTTTAAAATCGAACTGTTTTTGGCCATAAAAGTTTGAATTAATTATGTAATTGAATAATTTTTTAGAGCAAGTATTTGTCAAGCTCTTGCGAAAATTTAGGAAGAATTGAGTCAAGGGTATAGGCCTTGGAAATAACAATTAGCAGAACACTCAACTCGCATTAAAATTAACAATCAACAAAAAGCAGAATATCCTTAAAATCACACTAAAAATTTCACTGAATTAATTGTTAATTAAATCGACAAGGCAAAGCTGTAAATTTTTAAAAATATATTTTCAGTCCTTAGATTAAAATCTAAGTGAACCAAATAAAAACATATGTTTTGCATGTTATTCAATGTCAATAACAGGTATCTCATACATAAATAATTATTTGTTTTTAATTTTTTTTATAGATTTCGAGCAGAAAAAACATCTTAATGTTTAAATTTTAGCGATTGTGACGTAAATCAAATCTTATCAGAAGGCACAATACCTGGAATTTCCATAATCTTTTTTTGTAAATAAATTGTCTTTTGATAAATATTCCCAAGTGTATTGTCCATACTTTTTTGTTCATGCTAGAGTTGCAACCATCGTGTATGTAGTGACTTTAGAACTGAGATGCAACAAATTCAGGTGGTTACTCTCCTTCGAGGAATAAAAAAAGGGCAGCCTATTTTTTGTCCGGAAACGTTTCTGTTATCAGATTCTATTTGTTAAAACTACGTCCACTCGTATCTCGACTTGATAAAACATGCAAAATTTGTAACTTATAATCCAAACATTTAAGCTTCTATCAGTAGGTTTCAAACATGCTTACCTCACACATTTATATATTCATGTTAATTACAACCAGTGCTTTTGCTCTCACCACGGGCGACTTGGTACACGTGATTGTTGAAAAAGGAAGTTTATCGGATACAATGACCGTCTCTTTGAATTCAACTACCAGACGAATCTTTGTTTTTACTGCGGTATCAAGTAATCCTTTCGCCACACACGTTTGGGCAAACGAAACTAAGCTATCAAAAGAACATCCAGTGATAATAGTGGTAGAACAAGAACACGATATTTTGGAGTGGTCGATTCCCCTGATTATGGAAAGATCACGTAGTAGCGGTGCTATACTTTTTAATGACACTTGTAGGACTCTTTGCAACAGCAATTTGCTATCAGGGAATTTTAGTGGAGTACAAAACTTTACCGTAAGTTTGTCGACCTCTTCGCCAGATAACGTAACTGTCAGCCTTAAAGTGGTTGAAAAAACAGAATTTTACTTGGCAAACAACCAGTCTCGTAATATATCGACAATAGCGCCTGGCAGACCCCAGCACTTTCTGTATAAACCGAATGGTACTGAAAATGTTGGAATCGAACTAAGGTTTACTTCTAACAAAAATACATGTTTTACGGCAGATATTCAAAAAATAAGAGTAAGTAGAGGAAGTATAAACGTATCCTAGCGATTTACTCTTGATTTAGTGTCCAGTTTACGTTTTGGGTGAAGTGTTCTTTGACAATGGAATACGCCAAACCATAGTAACAGAGAGTACCATAAGGGTTAACGTAAGTACTTGCTCTACTTTTTTGTAATAATAAGAATGTTGATAAAGATGCAGGGCGGACATTTTGCCAACGGATTTGTTCTTGTTTTTGTGCAAGAAGAAACAGATTATCTTTGTGAAAAAGGATATCGAGAGGGAGCCAACTGTGAAGAGCCTTCCGTAGTTACAATTGAGATAAAAGAAACTTTTGGTCACGACGAATATATCTACATTCCTTTAACAGTTTTTAGCTGTATTGCAGCTTTCTGCATCTTTCACTGCTTCGTTTTTTGCTACGTGGAAAAACAACAACAGTTAAAACTCCCTTCAAACAACAACCCCGATTCCGATCGTCGCCAAGTAGAGAATAAAGTGCACGAAGAAACAAATAGAAGCACTGGAAACAACACCATCGATCCCGAAGAACAAAACAATCAAACCGATCGTCACCAAGACGAAAATGAAATCGTTGAAGAAACAAATAGAGATCACGAAAACAACGCCATCAATACCGAAATTGAAAACGATTAACGCGAAAACAAAAAGTTTTGGAAAACTGTAGATGAACTGTGCAAAAATTTTAAAGAAAACAAAGAAAAGGCACATAGTTATTTTTCGCATGTTACCAATATTGCAATTTTCTATGGAATTCCAGTTGTACAGTTAGCAGCTAACTACCAGAAGAGTCTAAATGCGACAGGGGATGAAGATCTTTGTTACTACAATTTTGGGTGCGCAAATCCTTTGTGGCTTCTATCCGATTTTAACCACGTGCAGTCAAACATTGGCTATGGTCTCCTAGGAATTTCCTTTATGGTAATAGTACACTTTCGCCGAAGAGTACGAGGTGAACAACAAGTTACTTATTTTTGTTATTATGTACTCCCAAAACTTTATTTTTACTTAATATTTTAGAAGGGTATTCCAGTTTACTATGGAACAGATTATGCCATGGCGGTAGTTTTAATTAGTGAGGGCATCTTGTCTGCATGTTACCACATTTGTCCAACCCAAAAGAATTTTCAATTTGGTAGTAGAAACATATGTATATTTTGCTAAAGTAGACTTAGAGAATGTATTTCAGATGTCACTTTTTATATATAATGAGTATTCTCTGCGTTGTAAAACTCTACCAAAAGCGCCACTCTGACATAACATTGTCGGCTTATTGGATTTTTCCCATCCTTGGTGGTATTGAACTAATCGGTAATTTTATAGTATTGTTAATGTTAAACCATAACACAAATTCTGTTTTTTTAAGCTGTTCTTGGAATAATTTTTGAGGAAAGTCAAATATTTATGGTGTTGTTTTTGGTGATTGCTTATATATTGTGGATCTACTTCACAGAATCGGAAATTTTTTACCTTCGCAGCGGTTTAACAGAATTAAAAAAATGGATAAAATCTGGATCATACAGACAGCTAAACGAAGAACGACCAAAAGGTAAATACCACTAAACATTATATTATCTCGTCACTCTCTACGTGTTTATTATTTAAGTACTGTTTTGGACTATTGTCGTTCTTGCCAATGTGCTTAGTCTCGTTGTGCTAATAAGTGCAATTGTACTTTTTTATGTTGACGAAGTATTAGATTTTGGTACTTTTCTCCTTATGCTGCTAATGGGCAATGCAGTTTTATATTCGATGTTTTATTTGTTTATGAAGGTACAGGTTGCATAATCTGTTTTTATTACTATTCATCTAAAAACTGTATTTATACTTTAGACTTGTATCCATAAGAAAGGAATTTCCTTACAAGCGGGGATCTATTTTGTCCTGAGTCTAGTTCTTTGGGGCGTGGCCATGTACTACTTTTACGATAAAAGCACCTACATGACTGTAAGTTAACTTTAGAAAAAAGTCAAAAATTTGTAGTCATGAAATAAACTAATTAATATTTCTTTGTTAGTCAAGTCCTGCTGAATCTCGCTCCTACAATCAGGAATGTTATGTCGGGAACTTCTACGACAAACACGATATCTGGCATTTCACCAGCGCTGTGGCTATTTACTTCACATTTATGTTTCTCTTGTGTTTAGATGACAATATTGCTGACAAAGATCGAAAAGAGATATATGTATTCTAATACAAATATGGACGCTTTAAATTATCAATAAAATTGATTACTGTAGCATTATTTTTTTTTATCGCCAACCGGCAATAGAGACATGCATTACCATAGCGATTTTCGGAAGTAAACAAACACTTTATTTTACTGTAAAAATCAAGCACTTTACCTGCCGCTCATAATTGTCAACATAACCATGACTGTATGACATTCTGTCTGTCACTGTCACGGTTCCAGCGAGAAAAGTTCTGTCGCGAATTATATAGAAAATAATGGAAGGAGACATTCAATACACGCCGCCTGAAAGTCGCTAGAGACGTCTTTCGAACTTCTACCACAAAAATCTGTCGAAAAATACAATCGCCAGTATGACATATTCATGGAATGGTGTAAAAAACATGGAACTACAAAATATAGTGAAAACGTTTTACTGGCATATTTTTCCGATTTATCTAAAAAGTATTCTCCTTCTTCAATGTGGTCGTATAATTCCATGGTGAAAGCAACCCTTTCTGCAAAAAATGACGTCGACATTAGTAAATACAAGAAACTTACGGCTTTTTTAAAACAAAAAGGAGGAAATCATATTCCAAAAAAGTCTAAAACTCTTTCACAAGTTGAAATACTTAAATTTTTACTAAATGCTCCGGATGAAATCTACTTGATGCTGAAAGTATTTTATGCAAACTTTTTAAACCCAATTTGATATAAATGTAATAATTATTTTAGATTTGTGTTGTGTTTGGCATTGCTGGGGCTTGCCGTAATGATGAACTTCTGAATTTAAAAGTAAGTGACATCGAGCACAAAGAAACAATTCTTGTTGTTCACATAACTAAAACAAAAACCAACAGGCCTCGATTATTTGTAATCACATCAGAATTTGAAGGAAAAGTAAAGTCCATAGAATTATTTAACAAATATTTAGCTTTGCGTCCTAAGCAGACGCCCCACGACCGATTTTTTCTAACTTATAGAAATCACAAATGTACAGTCCAGCCAGTAGGGATCCATATTTTTGGAAGTATACCAACCAAAATTGCTACGTATTTGCATTTGCCAGAACCATCACTTTATACGGGACATTGTTTCCGTCGAACATCTGCCACTCTCTTTGCCAACGCAGGCGGCAGTAAGGAAAATTTAAAACGCCACGGAGGGTGGAAAAGCGATACGATTGCAGAGTCCTATGTTGAGGAATCTGTGCTCAATAAAAAGAAAATCGCAGAGACAATTTTAGGTGAAAGTCAAACTGACAACATATTTGTTACCAATGATAATTTTACTCAAGATTCACCTAATGAAATTATTAGCACGGCTAATCCTCAAACATTTTCACTTCAAACTCCTTCGACTTCAGGACTCAATTTTTATAATCCGTCAGGTTGTACATTTACATTTAATATAACAAGTAATAAGTAGATATCTTTTGACTCATTGTTATTATATGTTTACTGTCATAATAAAATGTGATAAATCATAACATTTCCATTATTTTTAATTATAAATTTTTACGGTTGGCGATAAAAATTTGTATGCACCACGTCAGTAAATGATCTTTATCGAACTCGCCTGTTACTCGCCTCGCTCGCTTCGCTCGCTCGGCTCATAATCTCAGACTCGTTCCATAAAGAATCACTTTACTGACTTGGTACATAAATAACTATTAAACATCTCCTGTTATGAATCATAAAAAATTAGTCGAAAGTTATTTCGACAGAACTTCCCTCGCTTCTGAAAAACAATCCAACAAATACCGCTTATCTGAAAAATTATAAGATTTGATTTTGGGGAATTGTACTTTTTCGTGATAACCTCTATGGAGAAAACATTATAGAAGGCACTAGTCGCAGTTTAATAAAAAAAAAAGTTTAAAAAAGGACAATTGGGACCCCCAAGAAGGTTTCACATCCTTAAAAACAGACAGTTGGGACCCTCGAGAAGGTTTCACAAAAAGAAGACAATTGGGTGCCCCCGAGGAGGTTTTACATTTTTAAAAAAGACAGTTGGGACCCCCGAGAAGATTTCATAATTACATTTTTAAAAAAGACATTTGGAGCCCCCGAGAAGGTTTTATATTTTCAAAAAAGACAATTGGGACCCCCAAGAAGGTTTCACATTCTTAAAAAAATACATTTGGGGCCACTGAGAAGGTTTTACATTTTTAAAAAGACAGTTGGGACTTCCGAGAATGTTTCACATTAAAAAAAAAAAACATTTGGAGCCCCCAAGAAGGTTTCATATTTTTAAAAAAGTCAGTTGGGATCCCCGAGAACGTTTTACATTCTAGAAAAAACTTTTGCCGCATTTGAGAAGTTTTACATTTTTAAAAAAGACAAATGGGAACCCCGAGAAAGTTTTAAATTATTAAAAAAGACAGTTGGGACCCCCAACAAAATTTCATATTAAAAAAAAGACATTTGGAGCCTCCGAGAAGGGTTTAGATTTTTAAAAAAGACAATTGGGACCCCCGAGAATGTTTCACATTCTTAAAAAAATACATTTGGGATCACCGAGAAGGTTTCACATTTTTAAAAAAGACAGTTGGGACTTCCGAGAAGGTTTCACATTAAAAAAAACATTTGGAGCTCCCAAGAAGGTTTTACATTTTTAAGAAGACAGTTGGGATCCCCGAGAAGGTTTTATATTCTAGAAAAAAAATTTGGCGCATTAGAGTTTTACATTTTTAAAAAAGACAATTGGGACCCCCCAGAAGGTTTTAAATTTTTAAAAAAGACAGTTGGGACCCCCGACAAAATTTCATATTAAAAAAAAGACATTTGGAGCCTCCGAGAAGGGTTTAGATTTTTAAAAAAGACAATTGGGACCCCCGAGAATGTTTCACATTCTTAAAAAAATACATTTGGGATCACCGAGAAGGTTTTACATTTTTAAAAAAGACAGTTGGGACTTCCGAGAAGGTTTCACATTAAAAAAAACATTTGGAGCTCCCAAGAAGGTTTTACATTTTTAAAAAGACAGTTGGGATCCCCGAGAAGGTTTCATATTCTAGAAAAAAAATTTGGCGCATTAGAGTTTTACATTTTTAAAAAAGACAATTGGGACCCCCGAGAAGGTTTTAAATTTTTAAAAAAGACAGTTGGGACCCCCGACAAAATTTCATACTAAAAAAAAACATTTGGAGCCCCCGAGAAGTGTTTACATTTTTAAAAAAGACAGTTAGGATCCCCGAGAAGGTTTCACATTCTAGAAAAAACTTTTGGCGCATTCGAGGAGTTTTACATTTTTAAAAAAGACAATTGGGACCCCCGAGAAGGTTTTACATTCTTAACAAAATACATTTGGAGCCACCGAGAAGGTTTTACATTTTTATTTTAAAAAAGACAGTTGGGACTTCCGAGAAAGTTTCACATTAAAAAAAAACATTTGGAGCCCCCAAGAAGGTTTTACATTTTTAAAAAAGACAGTTGGGATCCCCGAGAAGGTTTCACATTCTAGAAAAAACTTTTGGCGCATTAGAGTTTTACATTTTTAAAAAAGACAATTGGGACCCCCGAGAAGGTTTTAAATTTTTAAAAAAGACAGTTGGGACCCCCGACAAAATTTCATATTAAAAAAAAAGACATTTGGAGCCCCGAGAAGGGTTTACATTTTTAAAAAAGAAAATTGGGACCCCGAGAAGGTTTCACATTCTTAAAAAATACATTTGGGGCCACCGAGAAGGTTTTACATTCTAGAAAAAACTTTTGGCGCATTCGAGGAGTTTTACATTTTTAAAAAAGACAATTGGGACCCCCGAGAATGTTTCACATTCTTAAAAAAATACATTTGGGGCCACCGAGAAGCTTTTACATTTTTAAAAAAGACAGTTGAGACTTCTGAGAAGGTTTCACATTAAAAAAAAACATTTGGAGCCCCCAAGAAGGTTTTGCATTTTTAAAAAAGACAGTTGGGATCCCCGAGAAGGTTTCACATTCTAGAAAAAACTTTTGGCGCATTAGAGTTTTACATTTTTAAAAAAGACAATTGGGACCCCCGAGAAGGTTTTAAATTTTTAAAAAAGACAGTTGGGACAACCGACAAAATTTCATATTAAAAAAAGGACATTTGGAGCCCCCGAGAAAGTTTTACATTTAACCGAAAAACACTTGGGATCCCCGAGAAGGTTTCACATTCTAGAAAAAACTTTTGGCGCACTCGAGGAGTTTTACATTTTTAAAAAAGACATTTGGGACACCCGAGAACGTTTTACATTTTTAAAAAAGACAGTAGGGACTTCCGAGAAGGTTTCACATTAAAAAAAACAGTTGGGATCCCCGACAAAAAGTCATATTAAATAAAAGACATTTGGAGTCCCCGAGAAGGGTTTAGATTTTTAAAAAAGACAATTGGGATCCCCGAGAAGGTTTCATATTCTTAAAAAAATATATTTGGGGCCACCGAGAAGGTTTTACATTTTTAAAAAAGACAGTTGGTACTTCCGAGAAGGTTTCACATTAAAAAAAAAACATTTGGAGCTCCCAAGAAGGTCTTACATTTTTAAAAAAGACAGTTGGGATCCCCGAGAAGGTTTCACATTCTAGAAAAAACTTTTGGCGCATTTGAGGAGTTTTACATTTTTAAAAAAGACAATTGGGACCTCGGAGAGGGTTTTAAATTTTTAAAAAAGACATTTGGAGCCCCCGAGAAGGTTTTACATTTTTAAAAAAGACATTTGGGATCCCCGAGAAGGTTTCACATTCTAGAAAAAACTTTTGGCGCACTCGAGGAGTTCTACATTTTTAAAAAAGGCAATTGGGACCTCCAAGGTTTTAAATCTTTAAAAAAGACAAGATTTCATATTAAAAAAAAGACATTCGAAACCCCCGAGAAGGTTTTCTTTTTTATGTAGCATGTGAATAACAATGGTTCTTCAGATAAGTCTTGCGGAAGCCCCCAGCGGAATCAAGAGAATATATTGATCAATTTTTGCGATAGACGACGTCTGGTATTTAACTCGGCTTTCTGAAACTTACTATTTATTGTCCAGTATTTTGTTGGCTTGAATTTTAGATGTTTAAATGCCAGCGACAATAAAATCCCTAAAATCTATCTATCTTTGAATATTAATAAAATTTTATAACCCATTATCTAATTAAAATCTCGTCAATAGAACTAATAGTGCTCTAACTTACTTTTACGTCCTGTACAGATAGTCATTTCAAAAAAATATAAAAATTATAGCGATTGTGACGTAAATTAAATCTTATCAGAAGACACAATACCTGGAATTTCCAATATCTTTTTTTGTAAATAAATTGTCTTTTGATAAATATTTCCTAAGTATATTGTCATTTAATCCATAATTTTTTGTTCAAGTTATATTTTCACACATCATGTAGGTGGTGACTTTAGAATTGAGATGCAACAAATAGGTAGTTACTCTTCTCCTAGTTATAAATAAAAAATGGCAGTCTATTTTTTATCCGGAAACGTTTGTGTTATCAGATTCTATTCTATTTATTATTCGTCCACTCGTATCTCGACTTGATAAAAACTTGCAATTGCAACTTACGAAACAAACATTTAAGTTTCTGTCAGTAGGTTTCGAACATGGTTACCTCAAACATTATGGTGTTCATGTTAATCATAACTAGTGTTTTTGCTCTCACCACGGGCGACTTGATACACGTTATTGTTAAAGAAGGAAGTTTCTCGGATACAATGACCGTCTCTTTGAATTCAACTACCAGACGAATCTTCGTTTTTACTGCGGTATCAAGTAATCCTTTCGCCACACACGTTTGGGCAAACGAAACTAATCATAATGCATCAAAAGAGCATCCAGTGGTAATAGTGGTGGAACAAGACCAAGATATTTTGGAGTGGTCGATTCCCCTGATTATGGAAACACACCGTAGTAGCGGTTCTGTACTTTTTAATGACACTTGTAGGACGCTTTGCAACAGCAATTTGCTATCAGGGAATTTTAATGGAGTACAAAACTTTACCGTAAGTTTGTCGACATCTTCGCCCGATAACGTAACTGTCAACCTTAAAGTGGTTGAAAAAACAGAATTTTATTTGGCAACCAACCAGTCTCGTAATATATCGACAATAGCGCCTGGCAGACCCCAGCAGTTTCTGTACAAACCGAATGGTACTAAAAATGTTGGAATCGAAATAAAGTTTACTTCTAACCAAAATACATGTTTTACGGCAGCTATTCAAAAGATAAAAGTAAGCACAGGAAGTATAAATGTGTCCTAGCGACTTACCTACTCTTGATTTAGTGTCCTGTTTACCTTTTGGGTGAATTGTTCTTTCTTGATGGAATACGCCAAACCATAATATCAAATGGTACCATAAGGGTTAACGTAAGTATTTTCTATACTTCTTTCTAATAATAATAACATTGATAATGATGCAGGGCGGAAATTTTGCCAACGGATTTATTCTTGTCTTTGTGCAAGAAGAAACATATTATCTGTGTAAAACAGAAAATCGAGAAAGAGCCATCTATGATGACCTTCCCGTAGTTACAATTGAGATAAAAGAAACTTTTACTCACGACGAATATATCTACATTCCTTTAATAGTTTTTAGCTGTATTGCAGCTTTCTGCATCGTTCATTGCTTCGTTTTTTACTACTTGGAAAAGCAACAACAGTCAAAACTGCTTTCAAACAACAACACCGATTCCGATCATCACCAAGTCGAAAATAAAGTGTATGAAGAAACAAATAGAAGCACTGGAAACAACAACATCTATCCCGAAGAACAAAACAATCAAACCGATCGTCACCAAGACGAAAATGAAATCGTTGAAGAAACAAATAGAGACCACGAAAACAACGCCATCAATACCGAAATTGAAAATGATCAACGCGCAAACAAAAAGTTTTGGAAAACTGTAGATGAACTCTGCAAAAATTTTAAAGAAAACAAAGAAAAGGCACATAGTTATTTTTCGCATGTTACCAATATTGCAATTTTCTATGGAATTCCAGTTGTACAGTTAGCAGCTAACTACCAGAAGAGTCTAAATGAGACAGGGGATGAAGATATTTGTTACTACAATTTTGGGTGCGCAAACCCTTTCTGGATTCTATCCGATTTTAACCATGTGCAGTCAAACATTGGCTACGTTCTCCTAGGAATTTCCTTCATGGTAATAGTATATCTTCGCCAAAGAATACGAGGTGAACAACAGGTTACTTATTTTTGTTATTATTCCCAAAACTATATTTTTACTTAATATATTGTAGAAGGGTATTCCAGTTTATTATGGAACAGATTATGCCATGCCGGTAGTTTTAATTAGTGAGGGCATCTTGTCTGCATGTTACCACATTTGTCCAACTCAAAAGAATTTTCAATTTGGTAGTAGAAACATATCTATATTTTGCTAAAGTAGACTTAGAGAATGTATTTCAGATGTCACTTTTATGTATATAATGAGTATTCTCTGCGTTTTAAAACTCTACCAAAAGCGCCACTCTGACATAACATTGTCGGCTTATTGGACTTTTGCCATCCTTGGTTGTATTGAACTAATCGGTAATTTTATACTTACTATTATTATTGTTAAACCATAACACAAATTCTGTTTTTTTAGCTGTTCTTGGAATGATTTTTGAGAAAAGTCAAAATTATATGATGTGGTTTCTGGTGATTGCTTATATATTGTGGATCTACTTCACAGCATCGAAAATTTTTTACCTTCGCAGCGGTTTAACAAAATTAAAAGAATGGATAATGTCTATAATTAGAGAGTCGTCCTATACACAGATAAACGAAATTGCAGAACGACCAAAAAGTATATACTACTAAACATTATATATGTTATCATCATTTCTTTATGTGTTTATATTTTAAGGACTGTTTTGGACTATTGTGGTATTTGCCAATGCACTTAGTCTCGTTGTACTAATAGGTGCAATTGTACTTTTTGATGTTTACAAAATATTAGATTTTGGTACTTTTCTCCTTATGCTGCTAATGGGCAATGCAGTTTTATACTCGATCTTTTATTTGTTTATGAAGGTATAGGTTATATAATCTGTTTTTATTACTATTCATCTAAAAAATTGTATTTATACTTTAGATTTGTATTCATAAAGAAGGAATTTCCTTACAAGCGGGGATTTATTCTGTTCTGAGTCTAGTTCTTTGGGGCTTGGCCCTGTACTTCTTTTTCGATAAAAGCACCTACATGACTGTAAGTAAACTTTAGAAATAAGTCAAAAATTTGTAGTCATGAAACAAACTAATTAATATTTCTTTGTTAGTCAAGTCCTGCTGACTCTCGCTCCTACAATCATGAATGTTATGTCGGGAACTTCTACGACAAACACGATATCTGGCATTTCACCAGCGCTGTGGCTATTTACTTCACATTTATGTTTCTCTTGTGTTTAGATGACAATATTGCTGACAAAGATCGAAAAGAGATATATGTATTCTAATACAACTATAGACGCTTTAAATTGTCAATAAAATTGATTATTGTAGCATTATTTTTTTTTTAACATCTCTTGTTATGAATTATAAAAAATTCGTAAAAAGTTATTTCGACAGAACTTCCCTCGCTTCTGAAAAAAGGACACTTGGGGCCCCCAAGGTTTCACCTTCCTTCTTTAAAAAACGACAGTTGGGACCCCCAAGAAGGTTTCACCTTCTTAAAAAAGACATTTCGCGCCCCCGAGAAGATTTTACATTTTAAAAAAAGACAGTTGGAACCCCCGAGAAGGTTTCACAAAAAAAAGACAATTGGGTGCCCCCGAGAAGGGTTTAGATTTTTAAAAAACACAGTTGGGACCCCCGACAAGATTTCACATTCTAAAAAAACATTTGGCGTATTCGAGGAGTTTTACATTTTTAAAACAGACAACTGGGACCCCCGAGAAGATTTTAAATTTTTAAAAAGACAGTTAGGACCCCCGACAAGATTGCATATTAAAAAAAGACATTTGGAGCCCCCCCGAAAAGTTTATATTTTTAACAAAGACAATTGGGACCCCCGAGAAGGTTTCACATTCTTAAAAAAATACATTTGGGGCCACCGAGAAGGTTGTACATTTTTAAAAAAGATAGTTGAGACCTCCGAAAAGGTTTCACATTAAAAAAAAACGTTTGGAGCCCCGAAGAAGGTTTTACATTTTTAAAAAAGACAGTTGGGTTCCCCGAGAAGGTTTCATATTCTAGAAAAAACTTTGGCGCATTCGAGGAGTTTCACATTTTTAAAAAAGACAATTGGAACCCCCGAGAAGGTTTCATATTAAAAAAAAGACAATTGGGTGTCCTCGAGAAGGTTTTACATTTTTAAAAGACAATTGGGACCCTCGAGAAGATTTCATATTAAAAACAAAACAATTGGGTGCCCCCGAGAAGGTTTTACATTTTTTAAAAAGACAATTGGGACCCCCGAGAAGGTTTCACAAAAAAAAAACAATTGGGTGCCTCCGAGAAGGTTTTACATTTTTAAAAAAGACAGTTGGGACGCCCGAGAAAATTTCACATTCTAAAAAAAGCATTTGATGTCTTCGAGGAGGTTTCACATTTTAAAAAAAGACAATTGGGACCTCCGAGAAGGTTTTACATTTTTAAAGACACTTGGGATACCGAGAAGGTTTCACATTCTAGAAAAAAACTTTTGACGCCCCTGAGGAAGTTTAACATTTTTAAAAAAGATAATTGTCACCTCCGAGAAGGTTGTACATTCTTAAAAAAATACATTTGGGGCCACCGAGAAAGTTTTACATTTTTAAAAATGATACTTGGGACCTCCGACAAGGTTTCACATTAAAAAAATGACAACTGGGTGCTCCCGAGAAGGTTTTACATTTTTAAAAAAGACACTTGGAACCTCCGAGAAGGTTTCACATAAAAAAAGATATTTGGAGCCCCCGAGGAGCTTTTACATTTTTAAAAAAGACCGTTGGGATCCCGAAAGAAGGTTTCACAAAAAAAAGACAATTGGGTGCCCCCGAGAAGGTTTTCAATTCTTAAAAGAGACACTTGGGACCCCCGACAAGATTTCATCTTAAAAAAAAGACATTTGCAGCTCCCGAGAAGAGTTTACATTTTTAAAAAAGACAATTGGGACTTCCAAAAAGGTTTCACATTCTTAAAAAAATACATTTGGGGCCACCGAGAAGGTTTTACATTTTTAAAAAAGACAATTGGGACTTCCGAGAAGGTTTCACATTCTTAAACAAATACATTTGGGGCCACCGGGAAGGTTTTACATTTTTAAAAAAGTCAATTGGGACTTCCGAGAACGTTTCACATTAAAAAAAAAACATTTGGAGCCCCCGAGAAGATTTTACATTAAAAAAAAGATATTGGTGCTCCCAAAAGGTTTTACTTTTTTAGAATGGCAGTTGAGATCCCCAAGAAGGTTTCACATTAAAAAAAAGACAATTGGGTGTCCTCGAGGTTTTACATTTTTAAAAGACAATTGGGACCCTCGAGAAGATTTCACATTAAAAACAAAACAATTTGGTGCCCCCGAGAAGGTTTTACATTTTTTTAAAAAGACAATTGGGACCCCCGAGAAGGTTTCACATTAAAAAAAAGAATTGGCTGCCCCCGAGAAGGTTTTACATTTTTATAAAAAACAGTTGGAACGCCCGAGAAAATTTCACATTCTAAAAAAAGCATTTGATGTCTTCGAGGAGGTTTCACATTTTAAAAAAAGACAATTGGGACCTCCGAGAAGGCTTTACATTTTTAAAAAAGACAATTGGGACCACCGAGAAGGTTTCACGTTAAAAAAAAACACATTTGGAGCCCCCGAGAAGGTTTTAGATTTTTAAAAAAGATAATTGGGACCCCCGAGAAGGTTTTACATTCTTAAAAAAATACATTTGGGGCCACCGAGAAAGTTTTATCTTTTTAAAAAAGACAATTGGGACCACCGAGAAAGTTTCACATTCTTAAAAAAATACATTTGGGACCACCGAGAAGGCTTTACATTTTTAAAAAAGACAGTTGGGACTTCCGCGAAGGTTTCACGTTAAAAAAACACATTTGGAGCCCCCGAGAAAGTTTTACATTCTTAAAAAAATACATTTGAGGCCACTGAGAAAGCTTTACATTTTTAAAAATGATACTTGGGACCTCCGAGAAGGTTTCACATTAAAAAAATGACAACTGGGTGCTCCCGAGAAGGTTTTACATTTTTAAAAAAGACACTTGGGACCTCCGAGAAGGTTTCACTTTAAAAAAAAGACATTTGGAGCCCCCGAGAAGGTTTTACATTTTTAAAAAAGACAGTTGGGATCCCGCAGAACGTTTCACATGCTTAAAAAAAGACATTTGGCGCTGCAGAAAAGGTTTTACATTTTTAAATAAAGAGTAAAATATTCTCACCTTTTCGAGAAAGTATGGTAATTTCATCAATAAAAAATTTGTTATGATGTTATAAACATGAATATTACACATTGCGAGTGAAAAAAATTTGTCGAAAATTTACTTCGACAGAACTTCCCTCGCTCATAAAGTACAGCTTGTCAAATGCAGCCCTTTCCAAAAATTAAAACATTTGATTTTGCGAATTTTATTGTATTTTTTATGGCAACCATTATAAGCTAAAATCAGGCGCAGATCCAGGGGGGCGGGGGCAATGGGTGCAATTGCCCCCCCCCCCCCTGACACAGGACCGAGATACTTTATTTTGACCAATTTAAAAATTTTGAAATCGCATTTCATTTTGTAGATACAGTACAACCTCTATAATCCGAATTCATGATTATTCGAACATCCAGTAATCCGAACAGAGGCTATTTGAAGTCGATGCTTCTTTAATCCGAACAAAAACTCTGCAATCCGAATTGAACTTGGAAACACGCAATTACTTATAAAATTGACGCAAGCTCTTTCTGCATATGTTGTATGGAATATTTTGAAATTTTAAAAATTTCAGTGCACTGAATTAATTAACTAATTCTGGAAAAAAGGTTGAAGTTATCGAAGAAATGAGGCCCAAAATCTACAAGAAAATGTATTTAGTTAAATTTCGAAAATCGTCGAGAATGGGTGAAATTTACATAATGGTGGTAATACATAATGGAAAATTTCATTTTTGAAAAATTCATCTAAAAATTCTGAAAAAATTCAAGTTCCAGATTTTTTAAAGCTCTGACTTCCACTTATTGAATAAAACACTACAGTTTATTTTGATTTTCGATGTTAGTTAATTATAACTTGTCTAGATCAATGGGACGCTAGCTACGACCTTGTCTCGGGGTTATGAAATCGAGAAAATATGAAAGTACCAAATTGCCCGACGCACCCCATTACTTACTGTACGTTCTTAGGTTATCCTCGATATGAAAAACAACTTGAAAGTGTTTATATTTATACATCGGAACAATGTCACGTAAAAACTAGTTTGATTTGAATGAGTTCGTCCCCTCACAACAGAGGATCAAAACTATTAAGTAAGCTACAATCGACAAAATATTCTGAATATCATTACCATAATTTATTCTTATTAAATAAAGACGTCTGTATTATCACATTTTCGGGAAAATGGAGTGACTCGCTCTTAATTTGATTAATAAAAAATATAATGCAATGATGAATCACAAGTAAAAGAAATTATTCGGCAAAATTCTAAGCTGGCGTCATCAATTTTTTGAAGGAGATAAGCAAATATATTTTGATTAAAAATTTATTATGCTAATCATAACTTTAAAACATCTACAACATTTCAAAGCATTCGGTTTTGCAAATTCAAAATTAAATTGCAAAATGTCGTTTCATAATTTTGATTATTTCCAAACACACGGACAGACAGACAGACGGACAGACGGAAACGGGAGACCTATTTCTTCGTACTCTAGGAGTCGGGAACAGTCGAGAAATCGTAAAAGTAGACTCGCTTACCCTCGGGAAGTAAAAATAAAAATATATTACTAAAGCCGAAACGTTGTATCTCGAAAGGCATAGACGAAAACGGAGATCTACTTTTTCATATTCCAGAAACTATAAAACGTCTAGAAAACATTCATTACTACGTATAATATTTCCCACGCTTACGCTGCCCGATTTATCTAACCCTAGAAAGCACTTCCAATAATACTAAATTCGGTCTTGCACCCCTAAAAATAAACTTGATTGACGTTATCTTTTTGCACTCCGAAAAGAACGTTTTCTCTAATTCATCTCTTTCGTAAAGATTTGTTTAATTTTCACTGTAGCTTTTAATTACTTGATATTTTTCTGCGATATCAACGTCACAAACACAGATGGTAAAAATAAGCAGCATTTTAATCCTTAAAATAAAGTTCCCTGCAATATTTTCCCAAGGTTTGTTACTGACACTCTCCCACAACACGACAAATCCATTTGAAATAAGAACGTCTAAAACAGACTAATCCACATCGTCTTCCTGACTATTTAAGAAAATATGGAAATTCTCGGATTCAGTTTCCAACTAATCTCCTTCACCACCACAACTAATAATAATGCAAAAAATTGCAACTTTATTCGTACTCACAATCGGTTTGATTATTAACCCAGTTTTAGGCTACCCATATGCAGGCGACGATTACCGCTACCTAGATCGAGACGTAAGCTACTTCTTCATCTTGATCAAAGTTACTAATTTATGATTGCAGTATGCCAGTCCTGGAGCCCACCAACTCGCCAGCTGGATCGCTTCGCAACTACGTCCCCCTAAGGAACTCGTCCCGCCACAAGAAGTCCCAATTCTACCCTACCGCTTGCCCCTACAAGGAAAAAGAAATTCGGAAGTCAGCAATGCCATCATCGGATCAGAAGAAACCCAGAAATTATACCGCGACGGACGGAAATAGACTTTTCGTAATTTCTTTATTGATTTGAGTGTGACAGGTTTTATTTAATGTCACTTGTAATGCTTAATGCTCGAAAGGATTAATAAATCATTTGGCTGAAAAGGTGATTCATTTTTGTTTAATTGACAGGTGTGAAGGCGGCTTTATGAAAGGACAATAACCGCTAATTGTAAGCGTGTGTAGACGAGTCGCCTATTAATGTATTTGTTTACTGGTATTAATTTTGTCAAGGTGATGCTTGGCTCTTGGGCGACGGCTGATTAAATTTTATCGCGATGGGTGGTATTTTTCATGGGAATAACACTATGTGGAAAAAATGGAATTATTTTATAACAATAGTCATGAGTCAAATTTGTTACGCAGATTCTTCGCTGTAAAATCATTAAATCACCTAATAATGTAGCCAAATATAGATGACTTGGCAGAGTTGTCACACCCTCGTTGAGAATATTAAGAATTGTCCTGAATTATATACGAAACAAGAGTCCGTCAAATGATAAACAATGATTTTCTGCTTATTGGAAGCCATCAATAAACCGGTTAGAGTTGTAGTATTGATAATTTTCGACCGGACACCACTTTTTCCGATTACTTTCCTGAAAGGAACAAGGTGTCTATGAATCAGATTTGCATGAACACATTTTAGTTATAATGGTCAACCACGTCCGATTTGCACTATTTCGCACTATTTGGTGGACTATACTTTGCCCTCGTGACATTTCTGTCTGTCGTCTGTCCGGATTTTTACTAGACAGATAATCTTCTAAACTACTGGACCGATTGTTGTCAAATTTTGTATATACATACTCGTATATTAGGACTATCATGCAACAATCTGATGACGTCATCTCCAAAATTTACAACAGTAAATTTTATAAAATTATGGAAAAAAAGTCAAACTTGTATAAGAACATTTTCCAGTTTAACTTTGAAACTGCAAACACGAATGCTCTGAAATCTTGCAAACGTTTTAAGGGCATCATAAGCATTGTAAATCATTAATCAAAATTTATTTGTTGATGCCCTCTCAAAAAAATTGGTGACATCATCTTAAAATTTTGCCGAATAAATCCTCTCTGAAGTATGCAAAATATTATAACTCCATAATTGTGGTTTATCAATGCATTCATAGTTTTTAGAATTACTTATTCAGGGTGACTCAAAAAATTCATGAATGATGCAGTTTATTGTATTGATTAGATCAAGAACGATTCACTCTATTTTCCCGAAAATTTGGGAATATAGGACTGTTATTATTCCACTATATCTAAAATTCGCAAAATTAAATCTCTTTCAAAAAATCTGAATTTATTTACCATCGATCAATTTTTTTACATTGCAATTTTTCGTTTTACCTGCTTCTTAGATTTTACAGTTTCTTGATATCACAATTTTTCGTTTTTTCATTTTCTTTATTTTTTTAATTTTTCCATTTTTTAATATTTCGGTTTCATAATTTTTCGTTTTTGCAACTTAAAATTTTTCAATTTTTTATTTTGTCGTTTCCCTTTTTTTACAAGTTCATTTTTTTTCATTTTCTCATATTCTTTTTTAATTTTCATTTTCTGAATTTTATATCACAATTTTTCGTTTTTTCATTTCCTTTATTTTTTCAATGTTTATTCCGATTTTATAATGTTTCTTTTATTCAATTCTTCAAATTTTCAATTTTTGATTTTACTAGTTTTACTATACTTCAATTTTATTTTGCAGTTTCTCAATTTTTAATCTCTAGATTTTTCAATTTTTCAAGTTTTTGATTTCCAATTTTTAGGTTTTTCAAAGTTTTCATTTTATACTTTTTTGTGTTTTCATTTTTGATTTTTCAAATTTACAAAATCGCAATTTTTCCATTGTTAACCAGAAACTTAAAAATTGAAAAAAATTAAGGAATCGAAAAATTGGGAATAAGAAAAAACGAATTTATTCGAAAATTTGGAAACCCCAAAAATTGTAAAAATCGAATGATTAAAAAAATGGTAAAATCGTGATATCGAAAAAATGAAAAAATTTAAAAATTATGACTATTATTACACACATATTTATAAATAAAACTAAAAAATTGCAAATCAAAAATTGAAGAAACGAAAAATCGAAAAATTGTAAATTTTCACATCGAAAAGAAGAAAATCATTGAAAACCGAAAATTAAAAAAAAAAAAATGAAAAAAAAACGGAACGAAAAAATGCAAATCGAAAAACTGACGGCAAAAAATGAATACTCGAAAAATTACAAATCGAAAAATTTAACAAACGAAAAATTGAAAATGAAAAAACAATAAATTATAAAATCGGAACATTGAAAAATCGAAAAATTGGAAGAAATGAGATATTAAAGAATCAAAAAATTGAAAAATTAAAAACTGAAAATTCGAGAAAATCTAAAAAATGAAGAACAAAAAAAAAAGATAAATCGAAAAAACGCAAATCGAAAAATTGAAGAAACCAACAATTGGAGAAATTCAAAAATTTTAAAATCGAAACACTGAAAAATCAAATAATTGAAAAAATAAAGAAAATAAAAACCAGAACGATAAATTACAAATTATAAAATTGAAAAATTAAAATTTGAAAATTTTCACATTGAAAATAAGAAAAATTAAAAAACTAGAATATTGAAAAACCGACAAATTGAAAATTTTCACAAAAAATGAATATTTGAAGAGATGCAAATGGAACATTTGAAGAAATGAAAGATCAAAGAGTTCAAAATTGAAAATTAAAAACTCGAGAAATTTTAACCCTAAAAATTGCAAAATCTAAAAACTGAGGAAACAAAAAACTGAAAAATCGCAAATCGGAAAATCGAAGAAACGAACAATTGGAAAAATTCAAAATTTTGAAAATCGAAACATTGAATCATCCAGTAATTAAAAAAAATAAAGAAAATAAAAACCAAAACGAACAATTAAAAACAGAAAAATTGAAAAAGTTCACAGTGAAAGAAGAAAAAATAGAAATTAATCAGAACATTGAAAAACCGAAAAATTTTAAAAATTAAGAAAATAGAAAACTGAAACGAAAACTGCAAAATCGTGAAACTGCAAAATCTAAAATTGAAAAATTCAAAATTCTAAAAGTCGAAAACTCGAAAAATTGCAAATCAGAAAATTGAAAAATCCAAAAATTAAAAATTTTCATATCGAAAAAAATAAAAAAAAATTAAATCGAAACAATGAATAATTGAAAAAATAAAGAAAATATAAACCAAACAAAAAATTGAAAAAAAGAAAAAATAAAAATTAAATTGAAAACCCGAAAAACGGAAAAAATAAATAAAATATAAAACTGAAACGAAAAAGTGCAAAATCGAGAAACTGGAAAATCTAAAACTGAAAAAACGAACAATTAAAAATTCTAAAAGTTGAAAACTCGAAAAATTCAAAATACCAAAAATTGAAAAATTTCACATCGAAAAAAAGAAATATTTGAAGATGAGAACATTGAAAAACCAAAAAATGGAAAAAATGAAGCAAAAAAAAATAAACGAAAGGTCGCAAATCGAAAAACAGAGGACAAAAAATGAAACCTCGAAGAGATGCATATCGTAAAATTGAGGAAAGAAAAAAAAAATAAAAAATAAAAAATTGAAGAAATGAAAGATTAAAGAATCGAAAAATCGAAAAATTACAAACTGAAAATTCGAGAAAATTTCAATGGAAAAATTTGTAAAACGTAAAAATTTTATAATCGAAACATCGAAAAAATAAAGGAAATAATAGAAAGCTGAAATTAAAAAATTAATACTTGTGAAATTGTAAATCCAAAAATTGCAAAATCTAAAATTTAAAAACATCTAAAACTTGGAAATTGGAAAACTGAAAAATTTTAAAAAGAAAATTCGAAGAGATACATATCATAAAATTGAAGAAACGAGCAGAATGCAAAAGTGAAAATTAAATTGAAGAATGGAAAAATTGAAGAAACATTGAAAAATATAAAATATTGTAAAAATAAAGAAAATAAACCCAAACCAAAAGCTGCAAAAAAAAATGAAAAGTTGAAAAATTGCAAATTGAAAGACTGAAGAAACAAAAAATTGAAATAAATAAAATTAAAAAAACAAAAAAATATAAAATCGCAAACAATCGAATATTTGAAAGAATAAAGAAAATAACAAACCGAAATGAAAAATTACAAATCGAAAAACTGAAATATTAAACACTGAAAAGTCGAGAAAACTAAAACGAAAAAATGCAAAATAGAGAAACTGGAAAATACAAAATTGAAAACTCTCCTGCTGTTCAGGGGCGACAGAAATTTTATCGCAATAACCTTTGACAATTTTTTTTTTCTAGTCTCAGCTAGATTTCGGCAACTTGTTATACACTACAGATTTAAAGCCTACATCTAAGCTAAGGGAAAAAAGAAAGAATGAAGGAATCTGTTCGAAGTTGTAGGTAGAATAATCGATAAGTACTCTAATAGAAGCTGACCTGGTTTTCAAATGGATTTCCTCAGTTAAATTAAAACAAGACGTTTACAAAATTTCAATACCTACCTCAAACAGTTTTTCAGATATTTTCCGATAAGTATCTGTAGATACCCTTGTCTCTATTTTTAGCCAAAGCTTTTCGAATAGTAGATAAACATTCACTATCTAATTTACGCTAGAGCAAGTATCACGTTCTAAAAACAAAGTCAGCCACAAAAGTGGCTCATAGATAGCTAAATATACTATTACATCCACTTTACTTTGTAGCGTTCTAAATCGTCAGATTTTCTCAAAATGCCCCTCCCTAATCCCGTAATCTCTGGGAAATTGTCTTTTAGCATAGAAATAGAGACATGGAGGTTGAATGTATTTGTTATTTAAAAAAGCTTTCCACTGCAGGCAAGATAAAAATAAACTACCCACGTAGCAATCAAATTCCAATTATCTCCGAATCAGATGTATCGAAAATACCAGCAAAAATATTATAATTAAACTCAAAAGCGACCAACAAATTATCATTTTTGACATCTCATAAATCTATTCTTAACCACACAACATTCAATTCCGCCTAATCCACCTAAAACCATAATGAAAAAATAAAAAACCCCCAAACTGATAAGAAAGAGGCGTATAATTGAAAAAAATCTGCAACGGAACGCACGAACGCGTTCCGCACCACTAAATCCATATGTTTGGTCATGTAAAGTCACGAAACCGTGAAAAAGTGTCAAAAAAATACCACAAGTCAAAAAGCAGTTTCCTCGTCGCCACCTAAAAATATAACTAATGGCGAGACGCCGGATTATCAGAAGTCCACGTCCATATGCCAACACTTAATTAGGTACGAAGGGTTGGTGTATTATCGATAATTAATTACGTTCCGGAAATTCCAGATTTGGAAGAGATAATTGTGGGTACAAAAAGGGTCCTGGCGAACCCCAAACCGGTAGTTCTGCTGCTTCTGGTCCAGAGGTGAGTCCACAATGCATCGTCTTGTCAAGATTGTAGTTGTGTTGTGGAGTGTTGTGATGGTCGCTTCCGCTTTAACCCACCGCGAAACAGCACAAACTAAATTATTTCTGTGTCTGACTTCAGTAAGTTTTTCAAAATTTTGAACCGAAAAGTGATAACCGTATTTCAGCTCGACCCTCAAAATTGCGATTTTTTGTCAAAAGTGTACGAGAAGCGTGACAAAGTCGGCTCTTCTTTGACTCGGTTGTGTGACAAGAGCAAGAGGACCCCTTTTCTCACCGAGGCCTTTTTCGACCTGTGCAGCTTACCTGCCCAATTCAAAAATTCCTTGTAAACTGTCAATCGTTTTCTAAATAAACCATTTTCACACAACTGCGTTTATTCCTAATGGTTTGTAAACTGTGCGACGTTCGCAAACTCTCAATCACACTTCTCCTCCCTATAAAAGAGCAAATTCCCAGCGACTTTCTCAGTCTTTCGAGGGAATTTCTCTTGAGTGGATTTACTCTGTTTCCAGATTACGAAAATGCGCGCAAACTTCGTAGGAAACGCTGTTTTTCTTCTGCTCGTGTTGTTTTTCCACGCATATTCCGCCTTCCCTTCAAGACCAGACGAACGCACTCTTGCAAATAACGAGGTAAATAAAGTGATCGATTAGCAGGTGTGTTTATGTAACGGTTTCAGAGATACCAGTTCATGAAGGAACTGCTACCGGCTTTACGGGAGGCAATCGTCGAGGACAAATTCATGGAGGAGAAGAGGAACCAGGAGGTCATGACGGCCTTCAACAACATGAAGGAGCTGAAGGACATACTGCGATCGGGATAATATGCCTAACTCTGTACCTGGATTTGAATAAATAAATTGAATTAAGTGTGCTCTCATTAATATTCAAGTTTTATTAACGGTAACAAAAATGGCGCAGTCGGTAGGATTCGTAGTACATAACCGGAATTTGTTCAATCTGTAATGGCAAAAAGTAAAACAAAATACAAAAATAGTTGAAAAACTAAAATCCTAGGAATAGAAGTTTACTTGCGCGGCATCAGTGTCTTATTTAACAAGTTTCAAAGAAATTTGATATTTCTATATTATCGCATAAGAAAAGAAACACTTGCAATTTTGTTGCCGTAATGGATACATACTTTGAAACAGGCGGAACTTGGATGTTAGCATTTTTTCCGGAAAAAGTTATCTATGATCGTATCTATCAAAGGGCAACTATGTTTTGCGGGGTTGTCGCATGTAAAGTGGGGTATTGGTGGGTCTTCAATAAATAAAGTGTACACGAAATGATTGAAACATGCAGGTCCAGTATATTAAAAATTCGGCGGAACGTTGCATTTCCCGAATAAAACGAAATGTAACAATCGTTCTCTTTAATCGTACACCTGAAGGACGTAATTAAAAATATACAGAGAGAAACAATGAAAAAATAAGTCGAAAGCACAATCAGCTGTAATAAATAAGTAAACCTGCATTGTTACTATTTAATTTAATCATTTATACAACTTTAGAGATGCAAAAGACCACTAGATGCGGCGTGTGCCATTAAGGTGTTCGCAGCCTGTTGTGTCTCTAAAAGAATTCTCGTTTCGTTCATCCACTGCCTCGCTATGGACCTCGGTGCACCTTTTAACAAGTTCATATACTTAAGAGTTTGGGCGAAATCCCCACGATCTAACCAATATCTGCAACAAAAACTCAGCATTCACACGACAAGCGGTGGCTTCTTTACCTGGCTCTTTGAAGAATTTCGTTGGTGGTCAACGAACCAAAGTCGACTTCTTCGTCGTTCAGTTCCGCCTGCGGTATAGGGCTGGGGTTTTTAATTAAGAAAACTGATTGAATGAAGGAGAGGATATGGAGGGGCAGAGCTCCGCCGTCTTCTGGCACTAGAGCTACTCTTCGGGCTACCGTTTCGACTTTGAGGAAGCGTTCACGGAGAGCGTCTTCAGGGAAGACGCCCCGATTTTTCGCCTCCGGTGGAATGCCGTTTATCACAGCTTCGACTAGCTCGTCGCCTTTCGCTAAATAATCATAAGAGATAAAAATTGGTCTAGTTATTTAGACAGAACTTCCCTCGCGTCTGAAGTCAATTAATACACATTTTTCGATTTTTTTTTGCTAATTTTATTATTTATTAAAAAATCGGTCAGGTATTTATTTTTTTAGTGTGAATTTTTATCAAAAATGAATCAATAAACAACTTCTATGAAAAAAAATCTACGTATGCAGCAATTAAAAAAACATGAGACTCCGCAAATTTTTCAGAATAATTTAGCCTCACAGGGACGTCTACAGGATTATTATAACATAACAAACCTAAATAGCCTCATTGACGATTTATTCGTGAACCCTAAAAATGTTTGTCATTATCTGCTAAAGTTAGGGAGACTGTAGCAATATAAACGTGCTCGCTGAGCTCGTTTACTAAAGATGTGTTTCTTTTAAGTCTAGAAATTTATTCTTATAATAGAATCCAAACCACTTCTAGCAGAAATACGCTGAAAACAGAAATTTAAATGGGAGCGCAGAGAGCACGTTCAGGTGTAATTCAAAAAATTATTTATTGCTGTCGCTGAAAACCTAAATTATTAAGAACAATTTAGTTGTCATTTAAAAATGTGAGTTTAAAGATTGATTTTTCTGTGTCTAAAAAAGTGATCTTGAAAATGTTTGTTTTTTTTAAGTAATCAGTCTAGAGATTTATTACTACAACAAAACGTGTTATTAAAATTTTTCACTGCTGTTCGTGAAAAGCTAAATTATTAAAAAAATGTATAAAGCGTGTATCAGTCTTAAAAATAATTGTCAATACTAAACTTAGGTAGAAACCCAACAAACAAGTATGTTTGTGTTTTTCAAAATTTAGAGATTTATTTTTACAAATGAACCTAAAGTCCGTTTTCTTGGATACTTGTAAGATTAAACTTTAAAATAGAACGTTCAGAATGCGAGCGCAGCGAGTACGTTCAGGTTTTATTTAAAAAAAAAATGGTGCAAAGTTATCAAATTGAATTGATCAATAAAATAGATTGGCTCATTCCTTAATTATTTTGTGTCATCTTGTATAAATCATTACAAAAATTATGATAAACCACAACTAGGAATCATAATATTTTACTTATTTTAGATCAGATTTATTCGACAAAATCTTGACATGACGTCATCAATTTTTTGGGAAAGGATAAACGAATAAATTTTGATTAACGATTTATCATGCTTACGATAATTTTAAAACGTTTGGAAGATTCCAGAGTACTCTATTTTGCAGTTTCAAAGTTAAAATGGAAAATGTTATACAATTTGTTTTTCAAATATCTGGATATCTAGGTGAAAATCTCAAAACGGATTCATAAACCACACGTGCAGGAGTATCGTATTTTATAAATTTAAATAATATGTACCAAGGTAAATTTTGAAAATGACACCATCATATTGTGTAAAATTTTTATAATTCGATATTCTTAATAAACATATAAAATTGGTCTAGCAGTTTCGGAGATTATCTGTCTAATAAAAATCCAGACAGACGGCAGACAGACAATTACAATACTTTCTTACCTTACGCCCAGGAAGTAAAAATACAGAGTGTCTGGAAAATAGCGGATTAACTCTCCGCTGCGCTCTTAGAATTAACTGGTGAGTCTGGGAAAAATAGTTAGTACTTGCTAAGATAAGGATGAATTTGGCAGATGACATATCCTCTAAGAAAAGAGAGGGTGGGTGGGTGGGTGGGGCTAGTAAAGTAGCCGTCACAATAAGCTGAACGCTTCAAGCGCTCAATAAACCCCTAACCACAGCTTATAGATGACATAAATTGTTTTCATCTGTTAGGACTAATTCTAATTTATTGAAGTTTTCATCTATACATAAGATTTGTTATGTTATTAACCATTATTTAGGAAGTGATATAGATATTTTTTAGAGATGTACCGACTATACTCGGACGACTGTTCGGCTTTGCTAAAACCGGTTTATAAATGCAACAGACAGTGTGTTTTTTTTCTATTTCTCTGACTACCTTAAAAATTTGTTTTATTTTAATAAAAGGAATAACTAAAGTTCCTTTGTTTTCCAAAAAATGTGTTAAGGTGGTATCACTCAGAATTGTCACACAACAGTTGAGCATAAATAACTCTTCACGTAGTCCAAACACTCTCTAGTGTTCTCTAGTCAAATTTTTAAACTCTCACTCACACCCTGTGTTTTTATTAGTACCGTCTCTTACTCTGTTTTTGTTCGTGTTCTTCTAATGTGACTTTTAAAAAAGTAACTTATAATTAACTTTAAATTTCGAAAATACAAAAATTCAAATATAGAAGAACTGAAAACTCGAGAAATCGAAAAACTTAAAATTTTAAAAATTGAAAACTTAAAATATCGAAAAGTTGAAAGATGGTGAAAACCGAAAGTTCAAAAAACAAAATTGAAAATCCAAATAGTAAAAAGTCGAGAAATCGGAAAATCCAGAACGTGAAAAATCCAAGTCGAAATACTAAAAAATTCCAAAATTGAAAAATTGAAGAATCGAAAAACTGAGAGAACTCACAAAATTGAACGAAATATCCAAAAATTGCGAAATTAAAAAATTGAAAAATTGGGAAATCGAAAAGCCGAAAAATTGCAAACCTAAAGAATCGAAAAATTGAAAAATCTGGAGCCTGAAAAATCGAAAAATTGAGGAACTGAAAAACTGAAAAATCGAAACCTTCGCAAGTCGAAAGTGGGAAAACCAAAAAAATAGATTAATTGAGAAACGTCAAAACTTGAAAATTTTTAAAATTGGAAAATTGAAAACTCGGAAAATTCAAAAATCGAAAAGCCGAAAAGCAAAAAAAACGAAAAACCGATAAATCGAAAAATCGAAACATCGAAAAATTCAAAAACTGAGACAATCAAAACATCGAAACATCCGAATCTCGATTAATCGAGTTCTCAAAAAATTGAAAACTCGAAAAATTCACAAATCGAAATATATATAAAACAGTCGAAAATTGAAAAATCCAAAGTTTAAAAAACGAAAAACTGAAGAATTGAAGAATGAAAAATCGAAACTGCGAATTCGAGAAACGGTAAAATCAAAATATACATATATTAATCGAAAAATCGGAAAACTGAAAATTTAGCAACGTCAAAATTTGAAAAATTGTAAAATAGAAATACTGAAGAACTGGAAAATCAAAAAATCCAGAAATCGAAAAATCTAAAATTTAAAACATTGAACAATTGAATTATCGCAAAATGAAAAATGGAGAAATCCAAACATCAAAGAATCAAAAAAGAAAAATTCGAAAATCTAGAACTTAAAAATCGAAAAACGGAAAAATCTACAAATCGAAACTCCAGAATTTAAAAAAATTGAAAAATCGAATAGCTGAAAAATCGAAACATCGAAAAATTGGAAAATCGAAAAACCGAGAAACATAAATATCGAAACATCGAGAAAAAAATTGAGAAATTGATAAATTGAGAAATTGAGCAATCAAAACATCCAAACATCTGAATTTGATAAATCGAGAAATAAAAAAAAATTGCAAAATTTTAAAAAAGAAAAATCAATTAAAACATCCAAAAGTTGAAAAAAAATTAAGAAATCGAAGTATAAAACTATCGAAAATTTGAGAAATCTAAAGTTTAACGAAAAATTGAAAATCCAAAAAGTAAAAAGGGGTGGAAACCCGAAAACTGCAACCTGAAAAATTTAAAAATTGGAAAATCGACGAATTGGAATCGATTGGCCTGAAAATTTGAAAAATTGAATAAACGAAAAATTGGAAAATCGAAAGAAACAACAAAAATTAAGGAAATGAAAAAACAAAAAATTGTGATATAAAATCGAGAAAATGAAGAATAAAAATCAGGAAAATGCAAAATAAAAATCGGGGAGTTGAAAAATTGAGGGGACGGCATAATTAAAAATCGAAAATGTGAAAAATGGAAAAATGAGAAATTGTAATATTGAAAAATTGGAAAATCAAAAATAAAAAAACGAAAAAGTGTATAATAAAAACTTAAAAAATGTACAAAGTGAAAATCAAACTTGAAAATTTGAAGAAAAATTGCTAAAAACCTGAAAATTTGAAAAATTTAATAATGAAAAAATTGTAAAATCGAAAGAAACAACAAAAAATAAAGGAATCAAAAAAAGGAAAATTGTGATATAAAATCGAAAAAGTGAAAATTAAAAAATCGGGAAAATGAAAAATAAAAATCGGAAACAAAAAATTGGAAAAGGGAAAAATGAAAAATTGAAAAATCGAAAAATGAAAATCTGTAATATTGAAAAATTACCAAATTGAAAAGCTGATGCAAAACGAAAAATTGAAGGAACGAAAAATTGAAAATTTTGGAAGTTGAGAAATTGTAAAATTGAAAAATCAAAAATAAAAAACGAAAGATTACAAAATGAAAAATTGAAAAATCTTAAGAACCGAAAAAGTGAAAAAAAAAAAGAAATGTGTATTATGAAATAGAAATATTTAAAATTAAAGAAATTGGAAAATCGGAAGACTGGACATGCAAAAACTGCAAAGTGAAAAATTTAAAAATTGAAAAATTGTAAAATCGAAAAAAAAACACAGAAAATAAAGGAAATGAAGAAACGGACAATTGTGAATCGAGAAAATAAAAATTAAAAATTCGCCACACTGGAAAATAAAAATCGGGAACATGAAAAATTGTGGAAACGAAAAATTGAAAAACTGCAAATTCAAAAAATTGAAGAAACGAAAAATTGAAAAATCGAAAGAAACAATAAAAAATAAAGGAATTGAAAAAATGAAAATTTGTGACATAAAATCGAGAAAATGAAAATTAAAAAAATCGGGAAAAAGAGATGTATTGTAAAATCAAAATATTGAAAATTAAAGAAACTGAAAAATTGGAAGACTGGAAATCCAAAAACTGCAAATTGAAAAATTTTAAACGTGGAAAATCATGGCTCCAAAGCACTTTCAAATTCTTTCCAAACAGGAATACCTAGAACTTCAAGACTGTTTTAAATTTTCAAAAAAAAAAAAACGGGGTCCAGGTCAGAATTTTCTAAAAATAGAACACCAAGTCCCCAAAAATTGTTTTACATAATTTACAAAAAAAATTTCCATGGTCTCCCGAATTAAAAAAAAACCCTGCAGCACTCAAAACTTTTTCAAATTCATAAGGAATAAAACACTAAAACCTCAAAAGATTTTTTCAAGCTCATCCAGTACCAAAACATCAGATTCCTTTAAATTTATCCTGAAATAAAACACCAGAAACATTGTTGTCAAATGGAATTTTATCAAATTATTACAAAAACAACCATATCCTTGTACATTCTAACTGAAATGGTAATTAAACATGGTCATGGACAAGAGAAATATTAACTAAAAATTTTATTACTAGTTGTGATAATGAATGTGTTGTTTAATTGTTAAACGTAGCAAAAGAACTGATTTTAAAATCATTATAACTTTACCAAAATTTGAGAAAGATTTTTTTTTTATCTCATTAGCCAAAATCAGTCTTATCTTAACAGATTCTCGCCCCGCCCACCCACACTCTCTTTTCTTAGAGGCTATGTTATTTGCCAAAATCGGTCTTATTTTAGCACAGCTGCTAACTCGCCCATCCACCCTCTCTTTTTGCCAAAATCAGTTTTATCTTGGCAGCTACTAGCCCCGCCCACCCATCCTCTCTTTTCTTAGAAGATATGTTATAGCCAAAATCGGTTTTATCTGAGCAAATACTGATGACTAACTTTTAGAGAAAATTAACAAAATTTGGAAACATTACGAGCTTACTTGTATGCAAAGGCAGGAATTTTGAACATCTTCTCTAGTGTTTAGTTGGTTATGCTTTAATGGATTTTTCTTTTGTTGATTTTGTTTTTGTGTGTAATTTATAAATGTCTTATTAAATGTTTTTTTTTAATTTATTAATGAAAAATAACAGCTTGTTTTATTAATAAAAATGCACAAAAATTAATGACCACTGGCTGTTACAGTTATCATCGTTACTAAAAAATGACAAAGTAAGCCGGAGGTATTCACGCATTAAATTAATAAATAAGGCTTTTTTCGTAGTCTACATCATAAAGATTGTTTTTGTGACTCCCGAAACCCCCGCACATAACGTACTGAAGAGTTAATCCACTATTTTCCAGACATCCGGTATAAGAAACATTTCATGCTATTTTTTCCAACACCACAATAAATATCAGCTTGCTACTCTACTGAGAAAAGCCTAGGTTAGTTCGAGAAGTAACAAAAATAGCGACAAATTTCACTCATTCTATACACTCTAACACAGATGTTTCACATTTAAACGAATCGGCACTCAAATTGTTCGTAAATTTCTCTAATAGCCTAATCGTGTTGACGAGAGTATATTAGCACACTAGATCAAAATAACATAAATTACTTTTTAGGTCATGAATCGAGTCGGTGAGGCGAGATTAGAAAATAACAGCAGACTAATCTGTACGCTGTAAATTAAATTTATAATTTCTTTGTGACCACACATTTCAGTCGAGTCATATAAATCCGTTTCATTTAATGTTTTAATTTGTCAACTTCTTAATTACAAAATTAAAACATTTACATAAATATTTTGCAACCATAAAAAAAAATGACTATCAAAACATCACCTTGACATATCTACTACAATAAAACTCACTCCCGATCTTTCAAAATCAAGCGACTTTTATCCACCCTAGTTCAATTGTGTGAATATTTTATTCACTTTTTTTATGTTAAATGTAAACAACATTCCCCAAACTCTCATGAATTAATAAAGGTGTGTCTTCCCAAAAAACCAACAATGAATCATTCCATGCTAATGCACCACAAATTTATCTGAAAAATGTGTAAATGACGAAAATACACAAACCTGACACCCATACGAAAATCGTTTAACACGAAAATACAGGGTGTCCCAAGGAAAACTTTCAAACGGAATATTCTGTGCCAGTTTAATGATAAAAAAAATCTAAAACGCAATTTTGTCCAAATTTAAATACCGTTCCTTGATTTGGTGTCCTTTACACAAATGTCAGAGAAAGGACCTTGGGCATTACCCGGAAAGAGGAATATCACAAAATAAATTATTACAGCATTTTGACATGATAAGTTAAGTATCCGAAGAAAGGTTAATTGTCTTTCAAAAAACACTCCTATTGATTATAAAAACATATTGACACCGATCACGTACTTAATTCAATCAAAAATCATTAAAATTATTCATGAAAATAAAAACTAGTGTATGGAACTAGAAGCATCTACTCTACTTGATCACAGAGGGCGCTTGCGCCACTCACGTCAAATCTACAAAGCGCATGCGCTACTCATCCCGACTTCGCCTATAATCTCACCTGCCGCCTTTTGCACCAACGTGATCTCCGGACTCAGAGGTCTCAACTGATCCTTCCAGGGTATTCCAGGACACCCCGTTTTAATAGCCCGCAACAACGCTTGACACGCCGCCCACAGCACTTGCGATTGTTTCGCCGTTTTGTCAGCCGTAGCCCTCGCTGCAACGAAAAAATCAAGTCGCCATGCGAACACTCGACAACCACGAAATCAACTACCTTGATTGTCCTCGACTTCCATCGCAAAACAATTAAACAAAAAATTATTATTGTGATGGAAGAGGCATGTCGTGGGAAAGACGCAAAATGAAATTTTGGTTAAATTTTTTGATTGGGCGTGATTTAGGAGTTGGTTGGCATTGCGTTTACTGAAATTTATGTGAGTAATGAGTTTGACGTTTTGAGGTGACTGAAATTTTGACGTTTGGGTTTTAGTGCCAACTGAGCGCGTTAAAGTTTCTGTTTGGGTTTTTGAATTTGGACAAACCTTTCAGGGCCGTATCTAGCCCTCTCAGTCGTCCTACCATCGCCGCTAACTCCATTTTATAAGTTGTGCTTTCTTTTTCTAGTTGTTCATCGAATTTTCTTGCTAAATTACGCTCGATTTCCATTGCGCGGGTTGCGACGGCTTCGTCCAAGTGGTCTGCGAAAACTTGGGATTGGCGTTTTAGCTGTTCTCTTAATTCATGTTCTGCTTCTTTTCTTAGTTGTAAGCACTGAGAAAAAGAAGAATCGAATTTAAAAAAAAATAAATGTTTAGCAATCAGTCCAAAAAAAAAAAAAAAATCGCCCCCCTTTTTAGTACAAACTAAGCCTTAATTGTGTTACTGAAACATATATTTTCTTTGAAAATGAAAAACACATTATAATTTACGGAAGACAAAGTGTTGGTAACATTACCATTTTATTCTATGCTATTTATCGTCTAGAATTCATTATTTATAAAACATAAAACCTTATAATTAATTGTTACAATTGGGAAGTTTCAGTGACAAATTGGTAGAGCAGCTGCCACAAAAATTGAATAATGACTTTTTAATCTTTACAATCTATGGAGAATATAATCTGGAATCGTTTTATAACACCAATAAATCCATTTCTACCCTGAAGCAGAAAATTCCCAGGGGCAAGTACAGTCCACTTTTAGAGTAAGCGGCACTTTCAGATCTCAGTTATGAATAAGGCTCGGATAATATGCAAAATGCATTTTTTTTTCACTAGCAGCCATGACGCATGCAAATGTCGACTCATTTAGAGGTAGCAAATTCAACTTTTGCGACCAACGGTTCAAAAAGAAAAATTGAGGTTATGTACGCAATGTTTGATGTGATTATTTCTTAAAATTTTAATAATAATGAAAAAACTTTCAGAGTTTAAATAATATATTTGTAGTCACTGCTACACGTGTTTCCAGTTTCTCTTCTGCCTGAAGACGGTACTGTGTACCGAAACACGTGTAGCAGTGACTACAAATATATTATTTAAACTTTGAAAGTTTTTTCATTATTATTAAAATTAATATGGAGTTTAAACACGTATCAGCCTCATCAATACAAATATTTCTTAAAAAATGAACAAATGTGTGCTACAAACATTACTTGAGTATACGCATGGTGTTTGGTAGACGGTAGAAGATAAAATGATTAACTCAGCGACAACTATAAACGGTTTTCTTTGTGTTGAAGATTTAGATTAAGTTTGATTAGAAATCAAAACAAAATCATGTTGCGTCAAAAAATTGAACGTTTATTTTTTCAGTTTATTGTCTTATGGTTTCTACTAGTGAAAAAAATAGTATATTAACCACGGTTGCAAAGCCACTTCTAGACCTCGCGCTTCAGAGCCCTCGACGGTGCGCGTCTCGGGTTCTAATTTGCGCTCGGTCTAGAATGCTTGGCTCTGCAACCTTGGCTAATAATATACTATTATGCATATTTTTAAATTTTTGCCGCATCTTTCGTAGTAATTGGTGAAAATCTTAATTTTAATACAGTTAGTTGGTTATTGGCAGTATGCAGGTAAATAAGTACCGATCTTTTCTAGTAATACGGTCGGGTTTTTCCAAGACTTCATTTATTTATTGTAAATATAGATAGTTTTGCAAATCTATTTAACGAGGGGTTGGAAGAGATGGAAAATCTAGAATGGATTTGTATTTCATTCTTCGATTTCCAAATTCATTCATGATTCGTCTACGAACTTGGCGACAGAGCAGTGATATTATGAATAATTAAAAAAATGTCTTCCAAACTATCAACTATTCAGAGTTGGTTCTAAATGGAGATCGTGTTTTTTGCAAACCTTGCGGCAAAGCAGTAAGTTTTTTAAAATATATTTTCAGTCCTTAGATTAAAGTCTAAGAGAACCAAATAAATATATATGTTTTGCATGTTATTCAATGTTAATAATGGGTACCTCTTACATAAATAATTATTCCAGAACGCCTCTTCACAAAAGAAATTGTGAAAAAAGAAACTCAACCAGTGGAATTCAAAGCTAGTAGCTACCAAGATAAGAATGATTTTGATAAATGAGATTCCCTCTAAGAAAAGAGACAGTGGGCGGATGGGGCTAGTACCTGCTAAAATCAGTTTTATCTTAGCAGCTACTAGCCCCGCCCACCCACACTTTCTTTTCTTAGAGGGTATGTCATTTGCCAAAATCGACTTATTTTAGGAGGTACTAAACGCGCCCACCCGCCCCTATTTTCTTAGAGGAATTTCATTTGCCAAAATCAGTCTTATCCTAGCAGGTACTAGCCCCACCCACCCACCCCCTCTTTTCTTAAAGAATATTTCATTTACTCAAATCAGTTTTATCTTAGGAGCTACTAGCTAGGATAAGACTGATCTTAGCAAATGACGCACCTTTTAAGAAAAGAGAGGTGGGTGGCTGATCGGGGCTAGTACCTGCTAGGATAAGACTGATTTGGCAAATGAGATCCCTCTAAGAAAATAGAGGGCGGGTGGATGGAGTTAGTACCTGGTAAAATAAGTGGATTTTGGCAAATGACATACCCTCTAAGAAAAGAGGGTGGGTGGGCGGGGCTAGTACCTGCTACGATAAGAGTGATTTTGGCAAATGAGAAACCCTCTAAGAAAAGAGAGAGTGGGCGGGGCTAGTACCTGCTAGGATAAGACTGATTTGGCACATGAGATCCCTCTAAGAAAATAAGAGGTGGGGTTGGTACCTGCTAATCTAAGATCGATTTTGGCAAATGACATATCCTCTAAAAAAATAGAAGCCGGGCGGCTGGGGCTGGTACAGTTTTATTAAAAAAATATTGGGCAGTTGTCATTTACTAAAGTCATAACTTGTAAAATGTGCTTTATTTAGATAGCCTTAATTTACTGACAGTAGTGTCATCTGTGGGATATTAATAATATCAAAGGCTTCGTTTGACAAAATAGGTTTTTGGAAAGTGCAAATATTTGTCAAAATGACAGTAAAGCTTGAATTACATATAAATTGTGATAAATGATAAAATGGAGGTGTCTAATATTTTTTGAATAAAATAGTACCTGCTAAGTAAAGACTGATTTTAGCCAATCACGTATCCTCTAAGAAATGTAATTAAATTATTATAAGAAAAGACACTAGAGGTTCCAAAGCACTCTCAAATGCTTTCCAATTAGAATACCTAGAACCTCAACATTGTTTTAAATTTTCAAAAAAAAAAAAAAAAAAGAACGGGGACCCAAAATTACCTCAAAAATAGGTCAAGTCAGAATTTTCCAAAAATACAAGACCAAAGTCCGCCAAAATTGTTTTAAATAATTTACAAAAAAAATTCCATGGACTCCCAAAATAATACACCATGGGTACCCAAGATTCTCCCGATTAAAAAAAAAAACACTGCGACACTAAAACTTTTTCAAATTCATAAAAAATAAAACATCAAACGCTCAAAAGATTGTTTACAGTTTATCCAGCAACAAAACATCAGATTCCTTGAAATTTACCGGAAAATATTTGATTTCCAAGTTTTTGAAGTCTATTATATGTTTGACAATATTATAAGGTATTGGGGCAGATATTCAAATCTTCAGAATCTTTTTCTCTATTTGGGAAGGTATTAAACAATACAAGGTCCATATATATGTTACAATTAAAACGCGTTTTCTCTAGTTAAAACTAGTTTTTACTAAATGCCTTTGTCTAGTAAAAACTAGTTTTAACTAGAAAAAATGCGTTTTAACTGAAAACCGGTTTTAACTGTAACATATAATACAGATATTTCAATTCTAGTAGGCGCGAAAATTAGTTACGTCAAATTGTGTACTAGAAATTAGTAAAGTAGCCGTCACAATAAGCTTAACGCCTCAAGCGCTCAATAAACCCCTAACCACAGCTTATAGATGCCATAAAGTTGGGCCGGATGCCGCGTGCCATTGAGTTAGTACAGGGTAGTACTTAAATATGAGATAAGCTGTGCCCAAACATTGTTTAGAACGCAAGATGTATCACCGGTAGGAGCATTTATAAACTTGCTTAGAAATTTTTCTGATTACATCCCTGTTCCGGACGGCCTCACAAGTGGAGAGTAATAAAAATTACAACCATCCTAATCACTTCAATGAATGAGAGCATGACAGCGCCCCAGGCAGCATTCGGTATATCTTGACGGCTACTTTACCTGCTAGGCTAAGACTGATTTTGGCAGATGAAATCTCTCTAAGAAAATAGAGGGCGGGTGGGCGGGGTTCGTACCTGATAAAATAGGATCGATTTTGGCAAATAACATATCCTCTAAGAAAAGAGAGGGTGGATGGGCGGGGCTAATTCCTGCTACAAATTTGTTTTATGTACCGGGAAAAGCAATTTGAGCTAGAGAATTGTTTTCATCTGTTAGGGCTAATTCTAATTTATTGAAGTTTTCACCTATACATAAGATTTGTTATGTTATTAACCATTATTTGGGAAGTGATATTGATATTTTTTACATTAAAATACATTTTTGCGTAGCGAATTATATGCTATCATTAAGCTCAGAAGTAGTAATTAATTTTATTGTATTTTTATATTCACTTTTGTCCTGTAAATGGGTTACATATGTATCTGTTGGGCAAATATACGTATTTATTATTATTATTATTATAAAATAAGAATGATTTTAGTAAATGACGTATCCTCTAAAAAATTAATTAAATTATTATAAGAAAAAACACTAGAGGCTCCAAAGTACTTTCAAATTCTTTCCAAACAGGAATACCTAGAACCTCAAGTTTTAAATTTTCAAAAAAAAAAAAGAAAAAAACGGGGTCCCAAAATTAACTCAACTCAGGTCAAGTCAGAATTTTCCAAAAGTAGAACAGCAAGTCCCCAAAAATTGTTTTACATAATTTACAAAAAAAAATTCCATGGGCTCCCAAAATAATACACCAAGAGTTTGCCCAATTAAAAAAAAAAACTGCGGCACTCAAAACTTTTTCAAATTCATAAGGAATAAAACACTAAAGGCTCAAAAGATTTTTTCAAGCTCATCCAATAATAAAACATCAGATTCCTTTAAATTTATCCGGCAATAAAACACCAGAAACATTGTTGTCAAATGGAATTTTATCAAATTATTACAAAAACAACCATATCTTTGTACATTATAACTGAAATGGTAATTAAACATGCTCATGGGCGCGAGAAATATTAACTACAAATTTTATCACTAGTTGTTGTGATAATGAATGTGTTGTTTAGTTGTTAAACGTAGCAAAACAACTGATTTTAAAATCATTATAACTCCACCAAAATTTAAGGAATTTTTTTATCTCATTAGCCAAAATCAGTCTTATCTTAGCAGCTACTCGCCCCGCCCACCCACCCTCTCTTTCCTTAGAGACTATGTTATTTGCCAAAATCGGTCTTATTCTGCTAACTCGCCCACACACCCTCTCTTTTCTTAGGCGGTCTCATTTGCCAAAATCAGTTTTATCTTGGCAGCTACTAGCCCCGCTCACCCACCCACCCTGTCTTTTCTTAGAGGGTATGTTATTGCCAAAATCAGTTTTATCTGAGCAAGTACTGATGACTAACTTTTAGAAAAAATAAACAAAATTTGGAAACATTACAAGCTTACTTGTATGCAGAAGGCAGGAATTTTGAACATCTTCTCTAGTGTTTAGTGGTTATGCTTTACTGGATTTTTCTTTTGTTGATTTTGTTTTTGTGTGTAATTCTACTCTGGTACTGCGAAATTTACGAAGTTAAACACAAGATATTTAAAATTTTAAAAATTGACCAATTGATTTTTCCAATTTTCGAGAAGTTTTATTTTTCACAATTTTCGAACTTGTATTTGTTTAAAAACGTAAATTTGTTTTTAATGGAACAAATACCCTACTGCAAATTATTACCACTTCTACTGTAATAAAAACATTAAAAAATTAATATCTGATTTTCAATTAAAGTATTTGCTGTTCAGCTGTCTATTCCGTTGTACAGCATTATGAATTTCCCCCTAACTCCAACCTATTTACTGAAAATCAGCCCACCTTTTTCTGGAAACACAACGTCAACTTGCGCTTCTCCTGCTCCAAAGCTTCGCAAATCTGGGCGTCGTTCAAGGCATCTCCTCCGCCCTTCCTAGCCACCCTCATCGCATCTTCCAATTTTTCATGCGCTATCGTTTCCAACTTAGCCAACTCTTTCTGATAAAATAACACAACACTATATGCATGTAGAATAAACAAATCTAAATCGGCCTCATTAACTTCTAACTTCTTATTATAAATATCGATTGATGGAAACAGAGCTTCCAGTTCTTCACAAAAATGTAATCTAGCTTTTTGCACTTTCTCCCAATACTTCTCGGTTATGTTTCCCATTTTTTTCTCGCCGTAGTACTGCGCTTTCGCGGTTTCGATGTCTTCTAGAACCTTTGCTATGTTAATGTTGACCATTTCTGTAGTGGCTGCTGATGTCTCGTGTTTCTCGAGTAAAGTTCTTAGTTTGGTTACGTTCGCCGTGGCTTCTTGCGCCTGCGTCTCGGCGAGCTTGATCGAGGCATTTTTCGTTTTAGTTTTTTCTTTGACGGTTTCCCATTGGGCGTGAGTGATCTTGCCTATCGACTCGTCAATCATGCACCGGATTTCTTGGTTGTACACCTGTAAATCGAAAATGGCTTGGTTGTACGCATTGACGGCAGTCGTTGCATTTTCGCAGATTTTTGCTTCAAGATCTGCCAAATTTTTGGGGTGGGTTTCAGGCAGCTGGACGTCCTCAGGCGAAACTTTAGCTTCTCCAGCTAAAACAAGAACAAAAGTTAAGACAAGAATAAGTTAAAGACAATTTTGTTAATGTTGTAAGTGTTAAAAATGGGTTAATACCAATTTCACACTTGTCTTCATCTTTCTGCTCAAGCCTGATCTCTGTGTACCCTTCTTGGGGTACTTTAGTGTCTTCCAAAGCTGGTATGACTGGTTTTGGTGCTAGTAAACACAGAGTTAGTCACTCATGGATAAACTGTTACCTCCTACCTTTGTAGTCTTTTTGTTCTTTCTTAGCAACTGTCTCCAATTTCTTTGTTGTTGCATCCTTAGTTAGTGATTCAGATAGTGATTTTTTTACTCCATCGTACGCTCTTCCAAGTGCATCAAGAAAATTGTAATCTTCTTGGAACACAAACTTAATAACTTCGTCACTCCAAGGAACGTATTCGACTAGACTTTTCCGAAATTCGGGGTCGTATTTTGCATAACCAATCGTAGCACCACCGACCAAAGCGAGTGCCCCCAAGGTGTAAATAGCGGTGGAACCGCCACCAGATTTTTCTCTCTTCTTGGGGGCGGGGGGAGGACAGATATCTTTCGCATAACACCTTACATTCTTGTTACAGTTCTTGAGTTCGCATATCCGTCGGTATTTCTGCACAAAAGAAACCCGAATTTTGAGGTTAGATTACTTAATCGTCAAGAATAACCATGAATTACGTAACGGGGATTTTTATCATACAAAAATGGGAAAGTTTAAGTAACAAACCCGGACTTATGTAAACTATTTGCTCTAGCGGGGTCACGAGATGACATAACTTTGTCACTTGGCTGTAAAGTTGAAATTAATTAAAGGGGCTGTTAGGGGGCTCACCGTTTGGAAATTTTTAGAGGGAAACCTGCCTACAAGCCTTAACATCTTCTGGGGCAGCCACTTTGGGAGCGGTTTCTGCAAAAATTATCCAACACAAAAATACACCGTGCACTTAACTTGACAGCGCAGACATCACTCAAATTTACTAAAGCTGAGACTTTTGTTATCGATAAGGTACATCACAACAATCACCAACACTCTCAAAACGTTTCTTTACTTACAAGCACCAACAACTAAGCGTTTTTTATAAAAATTAAGACAATTTGATGGATTTTTCGTTCCGGGTTTTGAGGTTAGAAAATACGGTTGTTCTCACGTTGGTCGCACTGCAAAACCAACTCGTCCATCCTTGTCTAACACATCGGTATCGCTATTATTGCGTAATGTCATTACATCACCGCCAATCAGACAAACCAAAAATCACCAAGTTGAAAATGTTGCGGTGCTTGATTCCAGTGGCTCGGCTTGTGCTTCGAGCCCCCATAGTGAAAAATGTCGTGCAGAAACCAATCCCTCATGTGTGTGCGAGAAGCTTTACGTCGATTATCCCTCCAACTATTGCAGCCCCCAGTTCAAGCCTCCTCACTAACCCTAAGTTAACCCAAATCAGCAACAATATAATTTCGAGAAATTTAATAAAATTTTCCATGCGAAAAGGGAAAAGGAAGTCGGTGAAAGCCGTCAGGTTACGTTTCTATCGCCTGGCTTGGGGTGGATGGGTGAGAACTATGGCTGGTCGCCAGAAGAAACTCTGGAAGAAGAGTCCACCCAGGAAGCGACGTTTGAGACAGCACGTGATGTGCAACGCCAGCCAGAGCTATTTATTGGATAAAATGGCAGGACCGTTTTGGACTAAGAGGAGGTATTATGTAGATGACCCATATGAGCCGTACCATGAAAGAGAGTATCACCCTCTATCTTCTAAAAAACCACAACCTTTCATCCCCCCAAGTGGGACGGTACCAAACTGTTAAACCATCTACATTATTTAATAAAATCTTTATTTGTATTGTACAAAATCAGACAATAGTGTTTTTCAGTTTACCAATTCCTTCGATCTCGCTTTCTAGAATGTCACCTTTGTGTAGGAATTCAGGGGGGTTGCGGTGCATGCCCACGCCAGCGGGGGTTCCCGTGAGGATGACGTCACCCGGATACAACGTAACTATCCTAAAACAACAAACATCAACAAACAAAACCACCACTACAACACTCCTACTGAGACAAATAAGAAACGAGAAAATCAATCTTGAAAATCATCTCTGACGTATTCCCGTTTTGTTTCAACTTGCCGTTAACCCAACTCTTGATGCTCAAATTATTAGCGTCGACTTTATTCTTCGTGACAACTGCAGGTCCCATTGGGCAAAACGTATCCATGCTTTTACCCAATAAAAACTGCCCGTTGTTTCGCTTCTTCTGCCAGTCCCGTGCACTAATGTCTTGCGCGACTGTGTATCCAAAAATGTGATCGTTGACTTGGTCAGATCTGATCGCTTTGGCTTTTTTTCCTATGACGACGGCTAGTTCAACTTCCCAGTCGACGCTCTATTTTATTTTAATTATTAGTTTAGTTAAATAAACATCAGGAGTGGGATACACACGTTGCTGATCACGGGTAGCTGGATGTCATCGTACGGTCCGATTATGCATGACGCGAACTTGCTGAAAAACATGGGCTCTCGAGGGTGAGGGATGTTCTGTTCGTCACAGTGGCCGCTGTAATTTAATCCCACGCAGGCTACTTTGTCTGGTTTTATGATTGGTGGGAGCAGATCGACGTCTGTTAGCGGTACTACTGATTTTCCCGAGGCGACTAACCTGGAAATTTATTTTTTATTAATGTTTAAATCTGGGGGGTGTGGTGGCGTGTTGGTGCTATGCGTGATCAATTATTAATGTATTGATTATGGGTATTTGGACTTTGTACAATGATTTACCTATAATATATGGAAATGACTATTGTGATTAAGGATTTCCGTCCACTGCCAGAGGCGTATTAACTGTGATATTTTTCTATTTGCTTTTATTTACTTATTCATTATAATGGAATATATAGTGTATATGTATGTGGGTGTATACTGCTATCTAGAAAACCATAACAAATAGGAGTACTATTTTACTTTATCCACCTGTGCTACTTTATTTACGATTACTTGTAACTGGTTCAAAGCGACTTTAATATTAATTTGCTATCGAAAAAATACTTATATAATTTTATTTATCCTTCGCAGAAAACAGAGAAACATCATTAAGAAATCACTTTTTTGTTCAGAAAAGTTCACTGCGAAATTCAGTAATGATTTTGATGAAAAAAATTGGGGATGATCTTTTAGGTCACCAATATGAAAAATATTCGTCATTTATTTTTTTGGATGTTTCACTTCCGATTGGCACCCCTTTGAAGTTTGAAGTCTACTATGGGCTGTAATTTTTTTTCTACAACACGTACTGAAGTGATTGTAATTTTATTTTACTGTGCTTTCAATAATGAATATTAAATTTTTAGAGAGCTATCTTGACGAAACTCTAAAAGTTGCTGTATTTTAATTAGTGATTTTAGAAAAACGGTAAAAATTTCCGAAGAAACGAATCCGACTTCTGGATTACGAAATCTACAAGAAAATGTCTTCAACTAATTTTCGGATATAGTTGAAAAATTCTAACCCCGCACGTCCACCATCTATTTCCTTAGAGGGTGTGACATTTGCCAAAATCAGTCTTGTCTTAGCAGGTATTAGCCCCGCCCACCCGCCCTCTATTTTCTTGGAAGGTATATCATCTGCCAAAATCAGTTTTATCTTAGCAAGCGCTAGTAGACTGAACAATATTAGGAGAAGTCACTGGAACGAAGAGGAGGAAGGTGGACGGAACTAATGTTTTAGCTAAACTCCGCTCCGTCCACCTCTTTTCTCTATTTCACTGACTATTTTTTCTATTTACTGTAAAATCGCAATTGTATTCTATTTCAATAAGGGGTAGAATCTAAGATTTAAAACAAAGTACAAAGTGTCCCGCCCGCCCACCCACCCCTATTCCGCTTTGATCAATCATTTTTATCTGAACAAGTTGATTTTGGTGAGTTTCAACTGGCTCGTCTGCCAACACTAGGGATTTGAGAAAGTAGATTTTTTTTAGGCCGTACTCGTATAATAGAAAATGTAGCGAAAGTTTTAAGTTCCTGTCCTGGACTATCATTTTCTTCTAGGAAAAAAAATATTGAAATATATATGTAAACTTTCAAAAACAGCCTACTTTACCCCCTGAAATCGTTATGTTGTGGAAAAAATACAAATTTGAAACTTTTAGGAAATGCAGTCCCTATGTTCAACTTTTCGTACCACTAATTTGTTACCTAAAAGATCACCTCATTTTTTTTCATAAAAATAAAAAAAAAAGTGGCCCCGCCCACCCACCCCTATTGCGTTTTGATCATTCATTCTTATTGGTTCTGAAGAACGAAAGTTGGATTTTGTATTGATAAATTAATAGAAACTAGAATTACTTTTTTTTAATCCAGTTTACTTTTTACTAAATTGTTTCAATTTTTAGATTCTGTAATTTTTCGAACGGCAATTTCATGAATTTTCAATTTTTCATTTCTTTCAGTTTTCAGTTAGAAATTTTTCAGTTTTTTTTTCTTAGTACTTCCTAAGATAAGACTGATTTTAGCGAGTGACATACCCTCTAAGAAAATAGGGGGGGGGGGGGCTAGTACTTATTAAGATAAAACTGAATGATATTAAGAGCAGTCACTGTAATGAAGAGGGGGTAGGTGAGCGGGGCTACTGTTTGCTTACAAGGTTCTTTAGAAGAAAGCTAAATTCTGCTCCGCCCACTTCTTGTCACTATTTCTTTGCCTTTTTTCTCTATTTACTGTAAAATCGGAATTAAATTATATTTTGACAAGGGATAAGGTATAAGATTTAAAACAAAATAAAAAGTGGCCCCGCCCACCCACCCATATTGCGTTTTGATCATTAATTCTTATTGGTTCTGAAGAACGGAAGTTGGATTTTAATAGAAACTAGAATTACTTTTTTTTAATACAATTTACTTTTTAGTAAACTGTTCCAATTTTTAGATTTTGTAATTTTTCGATAAGCAATTTCACGAGTTTTCAATTTTCGATTTTTCAATTTGTCATTTCTTTCATTTTTTGATTAAAAACTTTTCAGTTTTTTTTGTTAGTACTTGCTAAGATAAGATTGATTTTAGCGAATGACGTTGATGTTAAGAGTACTCACTGGAATGAAGAGGGGGTAGGTGGGCGGGGCTACTGTTTGCTTACAAGGTTCTTTACAAAAAAGCTAAACTCTGCTCCGCCCACCCCTTTTCTCTATTTCTTTGACTAGTTTCTCTATTTATTGTAAAACGGGAATTAAATTGTATTTTGACAAGAGGTAGGGTCTAAGAATGAAAACAAAGTAAAAAGTGACCCCGCTCACCCACCCTTATTCCGTTTTGATCATTGATTCTTATTAGTTCTGAAGAACGAAAGTTTGATTTTATATTGGTAAATTAATACAAACTAGGATTGCTTTTTTTAATACAATTTAATTTTTACTAAATTGTTTCAATTTTTTGATCTGCAATTTCATGAGTTTTCGTTTCTTTCATTTTTCGATTAGAAATTTTTCAGTTTTTTTTGTTAGTACTTATTAAGATAAGACTGATTTTAGCGAATGACATACCCTCTACGAAAATAGAGGGGGGTGGGCGGGGCTAGTACTTGTTAAGACTGAACAATATTAGGAGTAGTCACTGGAACGAAGAGGGGGTAGGTGGACTACTATTTGAGCTAAACTCCGCCCCGTCCACCTCTTTTCTCTATTTTTCTGACTATTTTTTCTATTTACTGTAAAATCGCAATTGAATTATATTTTAACAAGGGGTAGAATGTAAGATTTAAATAAAACAAAGTAAAAAGTGGCCCCACCCACCCACCCCTATTCCGATTTGATCATTCATTTTCTGATTTTGGTGATTTTCAACTGACTCGTGTACCAACACCAGGGATTTGAGAAAGTAGTTTTTTTTAGGCATTTAGTACTGGTATAATAGACAATGTAACGGAAGTTTTAAGTTCCTGTCCTGGACTATCATTTTCTTCAAGGAAAAAAAATATTGAAATATGTATGTAAACTTTCAAAAACAGTACTTTACCCCCCCCCCCCTAAATCCTTATGTTGTGGAAAAAATACAACTTTGAAACTTTTAGGAAATGCAGTCCCTGTATTCATCTTTTCATACCAGTAATTTGTTACCTAAAATCATCATCAAAATCAAAAATCATATCTCATTTAGTGTTTTCATATGGAACGACCCTAGGCCAACATTATTTTATTTTTTAGTATTCCTTACATCAAATACTTACGTAGCTCAAAAAAATGTGAATCTCTTAATCTTATCGATTATCACAAAAATGTGTTTTCTCTGAAATCTTGCAAATACAGTGGCATTATGATTAGTGTTAGATTGTAGATAAAAAGTCATAAAAAAAAGTATTGAAATACATTTTTGTTGAAAAATACTCCTTGATAGCCCGGTGGACTCGAGAAATTCTATACTATAAAGAACTATTTACATGTTTTTTATTTGTATTCCGAGTGTTTCTAAATTTTTAAATAGTTACAATAAAATAGACGATTTTTTTTTTGTATTCAGGGTGCCAAAACACACCAGTCTTTAACAAACAATAAAAAATGACCCTTCAAGAATAATATTTTATATTTTCGTATTTTTTAGTTAATTATTGTAAAATATGCACCACTGCAGTAAATAATAAAACAATTGGATTTACATTAGGAGCGAGGACGTTTAGATGGCATTGAAAGATTCAGAACACGTAGGAGACTCCGATCATTTTAAAATTCTTTTTAAGAAGGGATCGTTCACAGCATATCTAAAGATAGTTTTTCTGCTTCAGTTTAGTAGAAAAAAATAAAAATGATTACACCGATTCAATTTCACGAGCTTTTTTTTAACTCGTAAATGCACTTAGCTACTACAGCAATAACCTCTATCTACTAAAAAAATTAAAATATACAAAGCCATGCGGCCTTTAGTAGAGTCGGTTGTAAAACTACGCAAAACTGTATTTAAATTATATCTAAATCAAAACCTAAATCAAACGCATTGTTATATCTCTAAACTTCCATCACTGATTTAAGGCAACATAATCATAGATCGAAACACTCGTATAAATATTTTTTTTTAATTCTAATTAAAAAAATGAAGGGGTGAAGTTTCAGTTGGAGCCTGTATATGAAGAAAAAAATATATGAGATATTTTATAATTTTATTTGTTTGACAATGACCACGATAACCTCACTAATAATGATAAGCTGCTAATTGCAGGACCGGCTTTTAAGAATTTTCAAATTCCGCATCGAGGCGCACTTTAACCTAAAGCCGGCCCTGCTAGTCGACCTTGCAAGTTGCAAGTAAAAATCATCCAGTGTATTGACTTGTAGCTTGTCAAGTTGAAGTTTTTATGAAATTGCCCCCAGGCTACTAATATTACGCACTTCTTATGTGCATCATATGTGATATAACATCATGGTACCGAATATAAAGTTTATTACTTTATGACTTTGTTTTTTTATTTATACAGTAAAAATTTTATACGGAATAGAGTCTGAATTTCACTTGTTATTTTACTAACCGACAATCGACCAAAATAAATCAAATACGCCCCTGTCAATTCAGAGAAATAATGTCCATATTTTCACAAGCTAATCATAATTCATCGGTAAACAATATTGCGGTAACGGTTGGCGATAAACGATGATATTTTTTTAATACACATATTGTTTATAGAGGGACCTCATGATGTCATTGGTTAAGCCGGGAATTAAGTTGCATTAACAACAACCTTATATAAGTTGTTGTCATGATTCCTCGTGTTTTCAAACATCCCATTAATTTTCTGGAGAGGATACGCAAACCGTGCTAATTTTATCCTAATATTTGCCAAACAAACATCCACGTGTGAAAGTACAAGCGACCATAACAACCCGCCCCTCGCCGCCGCCACCACGTGTAATCGATCGTTTAACCTAATTTCCCTCCAGCTGCACCGTACGTCAGTGCACTATTACAAAACCGAAGAAAACAACCCAAGAATTTCTAAAGTAAAAGTTGTTTACCTTTTCGCCCGTTCGTAAACATCGCCACCAGCCCCCAAAAATTTGGTCAGGGTGTTGGGGATGGAGTGGTCCACATTGCTGATATCAAAAACGTCCCCGTCTGGACTCAACTGCGCCCCCAAGTGCGGCAGACCGCCCGCCTTCAGTCTAAACTGCACGAATCTCATCTTGGTACTCGAACTAACACTCAAATTTCTTATCACTTGCTGTGATTTGCTACAGAAAAGTATTTTTTTCGAGTTGTTGAAAAAACAAAGGATTGTTGTTGCAGAGCGCATTTCGCGGCTGAAAATCAACGGAGACTGATAAGAATGCGAGGAGTAGCGGTAGGGAATGGTGGTGACGTGAATTTTTTATTTTCAATGAAACGACTGACGAAAATCTACCCATTTACATGGGTGCAACGGAGCGACTGACCGCCTGTGGTGGGAAACCAGTTTCGATTTTGACGTGTTTTTGGGGGAAAAGTCAAATTTTAATATTTAAAGTTAACAATGTTTAAATTGGGTTGCGTGTTTGGTCAAGGAATTTTCACTTTCGAATAAATTCGACTCTGACAGGTGATGGCCTTGAGTCACGAAGTATGTTTTTATTTTGATTACGTATTTGCCAAATTATGTGACGTCATAAGTGTGGCGGCGACATCTGCTGCACGTTTTTTAAATCAAGCCGCGGAAATATAGGTGCCGTGTTTTTTGCTGATAAAACAGATCGCAGAGGGCTTCGTTGAAGCTACTACACTATAGATGGCGCGTAATTGTACTTTTTCATTTGTTTTTAACAGCGTTATTGCTAATGAATTGCAAATTTTCTGTGAGAATCTAACACGATTGCGGTGGTTTTGTAATTATTGCGGTTATTAAAGAGCTAATTACCGGAAATCCGGTTGTAATGTCACTCAGTAAATGTATGTGTTATTAATTATTAATTAATTACTTACATTTTAATACGCACAAACAACTTTAAATTTGCATAATGCTGGTACCAAGTACCCCAGTGTTTGACTTAAGGAAATTGCGTGGTAATCGTAATGTTGGTGTTCACATTCAAAGCACTGACACAAAAAATTTTCAAATATTGCAAAAACTATCTTTGTGAGGACTAGTTTTTCTATCATTTCTGTACACTTGAGATTTTAATTTAATCAATGAAACAATCTCTTCAATAATTATTTTGGATTCTATTTATTTTTCTTTTGATTTTTCGCATCACCTGGTTTAGGTTCTTCTTTTTCTTCTTCTTGGAATACAAATTTGATAACGTTATCAGTCCATGGCAAGCTTGCAACTAAGACATTTTGGCGAAAGTTGTCATCACATTTAGCATAGCCTATTGTGGCTGCGCTGAGCAAAGCTAGTGCTCCCAAAAGGTAGAGCAATGTTGAACTTTCCTTTTTTTTGACAGGGGGAGCACAGATGGGTTTAACAAAACGTTTGCTATTTTTGTGTATACACTTTTGTTCCAATAATTCGCGGGAGCCCTGAAAAAATAACTGTTATGTGCTAGCAGATAAGGTCCAAATTTCACCGTTCGAAAACTGCAAAATCGGTTTATCAGTGTTAGTATTTGCATAGTTGATCAGTTTGCCGCTAAAAGTCAATTTGTTCGGTCAGCCATTACTTCAGTTGTTTGTACACAGTTCTGTGGTCATAATTGCTACAAATTTTCAAAGATTGGGTAGCGAAACGGTGAATTTTGACGAATTTAGTCGTGTGACAAGGACATCTAAAAGTGACAAAGGTGACAAACTGTGTGACATTTTGGTCATATTAAAGTGCCCTCTGTGTTTTAGTTATTTTTATAATATTGTCTCCGTTCCAGAAAAATACAACTGTAAAATGGATAGTGGATTTAGCATTTTCCAGGTGGTAAAATTTTTGAATATTTTGACACAAAGTAGAATCAAAATTTGGCAAAAAAGATCAAAAATCCACCTGTTCTTTAAATTACTTTGAGGAGTTATCTTCTTGTATTTCTTGTCGATATTCTCTTTATTATCAAAATATTCGTGGTTTAAACACCAAACTAATTGTTTTGCATACATTTCTCCTATTTAATCTTCATAACAGAATTATAAAACTTCAACATGGATTTCTTAACGGCTACTCTACGTCTACGAATCTGTGTACATTTACGCAAGTTGTTTCTGATGCTTTTAACCGCCTTTGATAAAATAATCCTTCGATTATTACTTATAAAGCTGCAAAATATTGGTTTTTCTAATTGGGTTCTACATCGAAGAAAATTGCTGCACACTCGGGAGTGTCTCAGGGTTCAGTCCTGGGATCGTTTTTTTTTTTTCAGTCTATATTAATAACATTGTAAAGGGTATTTAGTTCAATATACCTATGCACGCAGACGACGTAAAGATCTTCAAAGTAATTGCGTTCGAGGATTGCAAAAGTGATCTTGTTAAATGCAATTATCGTTACATTTTACTCTAAAATTTTTTATAAACTCGGAAGTAAAAAATAGTAAAAAGTCTTAAAACAAACGTTTAAAAACTTCACAACGAAATGTACAACCGATGTGGGACAAATGAGTATGTGGCAGCAATAACAAAATTAACACCCAGTTTATACAAAGCAAATTAAAAAATAAAATATTTAATGGAGCATTATTCTTGACTGATTTTGATTGAGGATTTGATGTGTTGAATTTGATGATATTATCAATTAATTGCGTGGTTAAGCTAACCACGCTAATAAATCGATTGTGAAAGTGTTTTATTCTATTTTATAATCATAATCTTGATTATAAGCACCTAAATGCGGGCATAAATTGGCCTTTGTGGCACAAATCAGTCAAAAATTGCTAAGCAACGATTGATTATTCATTTACATTAATTAATCATTCAAACAAGCTTCGATATTCAACACTTTTATTAAAGTTGGGAAAATAAATTTCATCAAATCGTTCCCTGGCCGACTTCAAATTCTTCTAAATTTCTTTAGAATAAACGTTTTCCGACACAACGTGATATCCATAACAACATCAAAATTCACACAATCTTGCCGGATACATAAATAACTATTAAATACGCCCACCAAAAATTTTATGAAAAATCTCTCTTTTTAGAAACATTTTTCAGTAATAATGTTAAAGTTAGGTCTATTCACAGTTAATGTTACAATTAATTTATGTTACTTGTTTCCTTTAGAAATTTGTTAGCTATATTTAATTTAATTAAATTATAAATGAATGTATTAAAAATAGACGAGGCAGAATATTGTATATATATACCTGGTGTCTGGAAAATGGCGGATTAACTCTCCGCTACGCTCTTAAGGGTACCCAGTAGCAGACCGAAAAATGAGCTAAATAGAATTTCATTTTAGGGGCGTAATTTCAACTTTGAAAAAAAGATCTACATTTCAATTGATAGATTATGTCTAAATCTTTGAGGAAGACACAATATTTTTTAAAATAAGTGATTGTTTAGTGTTTAATTAATGGTTCATTCTTCGAAGGAAATTGCATTTTTAGACGAGGAGAGAGCATGTTTCGCTTCAACTTTTATATCAGTGCAAAGACAACATTGAGCTCTGTGGGGAAGACCCGGTCATTTTTGTTTAAAATTTATATTTATCAAAATATTTGCTTTTTAAAAAAATACTGAATAATGAAAATAAAATGAAACTAGGTAACCCTAAATGTTTTTCACAGTACAGTAGGATTAGCCGTGTTACTTGTTCTTTCATTTTGCAAATTTTACCAAAATAACGTTCGGTTAGTCTAGAGGATTTTTCTGTGCACCATTCTGGATTATTGCGTTCGTCAATTGTGTTTTGTTCGATTAAAAAGACATCAACGTTTGAAAGTTTTTTGAGAAATACTTTTTGCGCTGTGACATATCAGGTATTTTAACTGCCTCGTTAGATACATCGTCGCCCGAGAACTTGTGTGATCCACAGACCGGAGCGCGCTCAGGCCAATGTCGGCTCTATAAGCCTCCAGAAATTCTGCGGGAAATAGTTATTATTTAGATGCTTTTATTTACACACATCTCACATGTTTCACTCGATTTTGACATGCAGCTATTTTTTTGTTTAACTAAGTATTAATACTTTCATTGCGTTTGATACTAACGTCCTAAATTAGCAATACTAGTGGAACAGTAATTATCCAATAGATTTTTTTGGCAAAGTACAGTTATTTTTATGTTTTAGCAGCAATGCGTTCTACTTTCTATTAATTTTTACATATTTTTAGTCACAATTTTGGTAGTTATTTTTTACTTTTATTTTTAGTAATAATAAATAGTCCAAACAAGAAAAAAAAAAAATAAAAAAAAAAAATCGGAAAATCTAAAATTTAGAAATCGAGAAATTGAACAATCGTATAATTGAAAAATCGAAACATCGAAAAACTGGAAAATCGAAAAATTAAAAAAAAAAATGGAAAATCAGAAATTTAATGAACTCCGAAAATTGAAAAACTGAAATATGCATAGAAGAACTGAAAACTCGAGAAATCGAAAAATCTAGAATTTTATAAATTGAAAAATTAAAATATCGAAAAGTTGAAAAATTGCGAAATCGTATCATTGAAACATCGGACAATTGAGAAATCGAAAAATAAAAAAATGGAGAAATCGAAAATTTGAAGAATGGAAAAATTGAAAATGTCAAAAATTAAAATACTGAAAAATTGAAACATCAAAAGTTGAAAAATCGAAAAACCGAAAAACCGAAAAAGCTCAGTAATGTATTTATAAACCACAAGTTCAGGATTATGCTACTAAAAAATTGATAACGTCATCTCAAAATTTTGCCGAATAAATTCTACTAAAAATGTGCAAAATATGATGAGTTTTTACGGGTAATTTATCACTGCATGCATGTTTTTTAGATATTTTTAGGTAGTTCAAAAAAAAATGAATGAGTCAATTTATTCTATTGATTAAATCAAGAACGACTCACTCCATTTTCCCAGAAATTTTGGGAATACAGTTATTTTTAGTCTAATCCAAATTGATTTACGTGTCCTTGCAAAATGTTGATAATTTCATCACAAAATTGTGTACCTAAAGTAAAAATTTAACTCGAAAATGTATGTTTCATTGTATTTTAGGTGCGAGGGAAGTTCTGTCGAAACAAGTTTCCACGAATTTTTTTTGCTGTTATATTTGAACATAAACAGTTTATTTTATATATTTTTAAAACATTATAAAGAAAATAAAAAGTTGTGTTAGACTGAACCTTGTGGGTTTCTCAATCTATTTTCCGCAGCATTTTAAACCTTCAGGTAGAACACACTACGGTCACCTCATTTGCATACTTTCTCAACAAGGGTTTTAAATCCGTCTAATCTCTCAATAGTGGCCAACCCCTATCGTAAATCATACACTTTCTTGGTTCGTTCTTGACGAAAGAAGATGTTTGGTAGCCTACATTTACAAAAAATGCCCTTTTTAGGTCTTGCTTTAATCAACAATAACTAAAAAATGGACAGTTTAACGAAAAA